TTCATAAAATTCTTTAAAATTAAATTTATGTAATAAAAAGTAAAATATTGTAAAGTGAACAAATGAAGTGATTTTACACATTTAAAACGGCACTTAAAATCATCTTATGCAAAAAAAGCATCCACTGCGTTAGTCACGCAGTAGAAATTTAGTGATAAATACTGCAAAATCAGGCAGCCATTCATTGCATTTAACATGTATGGTATTTTTTTTGAACACTTTTACTTTTCTTAAAATCTTATACATTTTACTTTTCTTAAAATCTTATACATTTTACTTTTCTTAAAATGTTATACATTTTTCTCTAGGTTGATTTTCTTGAAATATTTTGGCATATCTAGAGGCATGCAGCTTAATAAATATATGATATAATTGCTAGTTATTTTTTTTGTTTTGTTTTGAATTTCAAATTTTGAGCTCACAACAAACGGCACAGGTTTGCCGACAGATCATGGTCTGCACCACAGGCGTTCGGCACATTTACCATGCCAATTATGGACAAATTATCAATAAGTAATCTCCCCTTGATCATCAACAACAATATTGCTATATATCATAAGTTGACTATATAAAGTATATAGTTTATATAGTAAACGGGTACTGGATCTTGATGATAAAGGGGAGATTATTTTATGATAATTTGACCATCATTGGCATGGCAAATGTGCCGAACGCCTGTGGTTTGCACTGGTCGCATAGACATGCTCTGTTGCCGACAAAGGCTCAATTTGAACACTTATGGTGACCCTGTATCTACACAAGTGAGCATTACCTGCTCGGAGTGGCACCCGAGGTCTACCTCGACCAGTAAAGCTTGAAAATCACCACATGGCCTTTACTGTGTTGGTGCGACGTTAATCCCAACCAAAAGAGACAGAAGCTATATTACTAGCTTTATTGTGATAAAACTTAAAGCAATTTTATCCACTCTCGATTCTGCTTCAGGACTAATGTCAAAGTACTTAAAGTGACGTCACTTGAGCACAAACTCACGATCTGTTGGGTAAAAGGCAGATAACTGACCACTAAGCACAGCCACCTTTAAAGTAACCACTAAGCAGCGCTACCTTTAAAGTAACTGTTTAAAATCCACTAATGATTTTGAACAATAATATTTTGCTCGACATAAAATGCAGAAAAACCGTCAAAGTAGATTTCAGATATAAAGAAAATCTACAGTGCAAGAAATAGAAAATGACAGTCACGGTATTTTAACACGGGATCTACATACATGCATATACATATTAGCTAATTTGTTCTAAGTCTACATACATGCATATATTCGCTAGTATATTGCAAGTCTACATGATTATGCTATATTGCGTGCAGGAAATCTAGAACAATCACCAAAGAATTCACCAAATGCTTTACAGTAGAACGTGCAAATTGAAACTTTTAAAATCAAAGGGAAGCAACTGTCAAAAAAGCCTTCTTTTTCAACAGCAAGGGAGACAACTCTCAAAAATGACTAGCAAGCTCTTAGTTAATGGGAAAATAAATCAAAGTTGTAACAATTTTGGGTTAAAAAACACCATTATTTAAGGAAATGCAGTGTTTGTTGCAGAACAATTATAATTGTTACTAAATAAGAAATAAAAAGAAAGTGGAAGACTGGCTTTGGTAATTAAAATTGCTGTTCTTAGTACATTTTTTAGGCTAGAATTTACAAAGATTTTAATCCAGGAAAGCAATAATGATTATATCCATCATAAACAATATTTAACATAGAATTTTACTTTCAGTAATTATATAATTGTTAAAAAATAAAACTTAAAAATTATTTACTTAGAAAATAACAGAAAAGACATGGAAGTTATTTTCGTAGAAAGAGCAGAAAGTCACTGTTATGGCAAATTTGAATGTTTTGCAGACATGTAGTGTCTGTACCAACATGAACTAAAGCATTGGCCTGGTCAGGTCACCAATTATATTGATAATCATCCATGTAAAGTTTGGCACAATTAAAGATGTTACATCTTTACCTTTATTGTGTTACAGTTGTATTATATGGGACAATTAGCCATCAAATATACATGACTTACTCATTTATGGTATATTTGGAAAAATGAAAATAAAATTCATCAGGTGAATAATTCTTTATTGATTATTTAAATTGCTATTGCATGATTTACAATGTACATACGAGAATTATCAAAATAAATTAACATCTATAAAAATGATTAAGTGCAAAACAGACAAAATTCAGGATAAAAAATGTAAGAAAATAAAATAGTTACACACCAAGTAATAGAAAATACACACCAAGTAATAGAAAATATACTATCATTTAGGGCAATATTAGTCTTTGTATCATCCGTTCACAATTCAGACAGTAAATACTAACTTTAATGTATCATGATCAGGTTTCACGGATGTACAATGTACAAGCTGATCTTGGCTTGCACTGGTCATATTGTAAAATTCAGTTGCTTCCAGTAGAGTAAATGAGCCACGTCACGACAAAACCAACATAGTGCGTTTGCGACCAGCATGGATCCAGACCAGCCTGCGCATTCGCGCAGTCTGATCAGGATCCATGCTGTTCGCTTACAAACCCTATAACAAGTAGAGAGAGATAGTGAACAGCATGATCCTGATCAGACTGCGCGGATGCGCAGGCTGTTCTGGATCCATGCTGGTCGCAAACCCATTATGTTGGTTTTGTCATGACGCGCCTCAATGGGTTTAACTACAGTGTTGGCATTAATTATGCTATTGAACACAATACTTTAACCATGTAGTTATCTCACTAACATATCTGATTAAAAAAAAAAAACATTAATAAAGAAAAAATAATAATACAAAGTAACAAATAAAGTAAACAGAAAGAAAAGCCTATATCGTAAGTTCTTAACATACATCCTTTGGAATACATTCATACATACATTCTTTAAATAAAGTGAATAAATAGTGTACATTGTATTTATATTTTCAGTAGAAAAGAAAATCAAAACAACAAAAGATGTTGAGCTTTGGTCCATAATGGAATTAATTTATTACTACATTATATCCATGATAAAGCATTGTTTAAATTCAACTTTGAAAGTTAATGTTGTTAGCAATATGTTAAATCTTTTTCTCTTTTTTTTCTCTCAGAAAATTTGAATTTTTTTAAACAACTTTCTTCTTATCTTAAATGTTTAACAAAAATTATTATCATTAACATTAAATGTTATAAAAGTTCAATAACAGGATCACTTGAAGGAAAAATATGGGTTTTATTTGGAATCTGCATCAACCAAAAAGACAGCTCCTGATTTTCATGTTTTGTTGAAACTCTCTCTAAAAGGAAAACAGAAATAACAGTAAGTAACCACATAAAATCTACCAAAATCCATTGCATCTACTTTACAACTAAACAAAATTAATATGAAATGAGGGTGATCAGAAAGTTTGATACTGTCTCTGACCTGGAACTATGACTTTGATCAGAAGAGATGTGATTAATGCATGCAAAACAACATGTCTAGAAAGTCATTTTAGCAATATTTGCAATGGTCCATCTAAAGATAGCATCTGATCAGCAGTTATGGAAGTATCATTTAAAAGTTTGTCTATTTTTAACTTAATATTTGATTCTTTTTTCATTTTATAAGTGGTTAAGAGAAAGAGATTTGTTTACAAAAAAAAAATTCAATAAACAACTCCCCAACAGACAGATGCTGTTCAAAAGACATCACCTGAGCTCAATCTAGCCACAAATCAATGTATCAGTCGAGACATCGAACATTTCAAATCTAAACAAAGTTCAGACATTTATTTTTCATGTCTACAAAATTGTTCAAGTTTTAAAACTTACATCAATAAACAGCCTTTATCAATTTGCTTTCTTGCCAGCCTGCTTCCTTTTTGCTCTTTTGTTTTGATCAAGTAACAGTTTATATTGATATTTCTCACGCAAAGCGCTTGGAAATGAGCCTAACAACCAGTCCTGGTGAGAAAACAAAACAAATACAGGATACGATTATATGGGAAACGATCATACGAGTCTAGTTCGACAACTTACTTTGTACGTATATTTAAATTAGTTAGTTTTCTTTGAAGCGAGCTTCTTTTTAGAACGAGCACCAGCTGCTGACAGGATGTTACATATGATACGTTGTGACCATTTTTCTGGTAACGTTTTAACAACCAGGTGCTAACAAGAAAAGAAAATAACTGGTGAAAGACAAGGCGAGCTATATAAAGTTGTGGCAATATATATTTTTGTTCAAGTTAAAAATATGAACAGGGTCGACAAGGAAGCAAAACTTGGGTGTACATGGAGCAGGAATGTTGATCAGGGGCGGTTTTGATAATGGAGACCAGGTAACTAGAGAGGGTTTATTACACAGAAACTAACTGCACAGAAACTACCTGGAAATGATTTATTACACAGAAACTAACTGGACTAGACTTATTACTGGGAAACAAATGGCTAGGGTGGACATTAATGGGAGCAATTAAAATATGAAAACCCAGAAGCATCTTTTCAAAAAATTTATAAGCCAATAGAGCACAAATCTTTCAATCAATAATTGAGCCGCATCACGACAAAACCAACATATTGCGTTTGCGACCAGCATGGATCCAGATCAGCCTGCACATCCGCGCAGTCTGATCAGGATCCATGCTGTTCGCTATCAGTTTCTCTACTTGTTATAGAGTTTGTAAGCGAACAGCATGGATCCTGATCAGACTGCGCAGGCTGGTCTGGATCCATGCTGGTAGCAAACCCATTACGTTGGTTTTGTCATGATGCGGCTCAATTATACATTCAGAATACCACCATTTATAGTAAGTTTTATTTAATCCTTACCATGCTAAAGATCTTAAATGTATATGGACAAAACCATTTATTATTTAAGAAAAATTTCTAAAAACAACTAGTACTACTGACTGAACTGGTCCTATCGGTTGTAACAGTTGCTGACAGCATGCAAAGAGGTTATATTTCTTTATGCATACATGAGATACAGTTGACTCTCTATAAGTCAAAAATCAAAATTTTGCCTTAGTTGAAAAATTTCTAAAGTCCCGTCAAATTTCCTTCTTTATCTTTGTACTTAAACTCCGTTTAGATCAAATTTTGACTTACTTAGACTCCTGATTAGTCGAAACGAGTTTTTGGTCCAATCAATTAAAGTCCAACATATATTCATGTAATTGAGCCGAAGAATAAAAACAGCTGACTGATCAATGGTGAGATGTTGTCACTCGGGAAGCGTACTCTGGTTCACACGTTTTATAGTTATTTTAATTGACAGCCATCAAAAGTGACATTTATCGGTATAAGGACTTAATCAGTTTTAACAGTTACATAACTAAATTAATATGTACTCCCTGTTCACGATATTAGCTACTTTCATTTTCGCCCGATGATTAATTCAAATTCTACAAGGTATTAGATATATTGTTGTTTAAATAAATGTGTTATTGTGCTTCTATAGTAATGAACTTTCATGAGTGATTATTATAAATATGTGCTTAATATTATAACTGATGAATACTGATCAACTTGATTTTCATTTATGCCATTGCTATTAAAGTTTGTGTTAATGTTTCACTATTAATATACATGTTTAAATTCTAAATAATATCTTTCTTTTCATTTATAATTTGTAGTTGTGAGTAATTAACCCTCATTTCAACGGTGATTTAACAATAACAATGATATTACTTTGAAAATTCAATCAGGCACATGTATATAAATGTACAAATGTAAATGTAATGGCAGCAGATCCCTGTTACTCAATTTCGTTTCTCTCAAAGTAAAATGTCAAGTCTCTTAAAATTTGAATTACCGAGAGTCAACTGTATTTATTTTCTGCAAATCTGTTAAATATACTTATAACTTTCCTTATGATGTAAAATTTTACTGTGGGAAAGTTAAAATTTAGACTGTAAATGAAAAGCTCTTGTCAAAGGGATTTAAGCAAAAGCCACACTTTTGATATGAAAATAGGGGGATCTAGACAATTAGTTACTAGACTTGTTAATATCCATTAAACAGGATAGATACATTTTGTGCATAGGGGTGCAATAGAGAGTGTTATCTACTTATAGATTAACTAATCACTATTAGGTATATATGCTTGACTATTACAAAATATAGCATAAATAACATATATAGAATACATGTGTGTTAAACAGAGTCAAATGTTACAGAAAACAAAGATTGGCAAACCAGTCTAGAAATCAAGTACTGCCATTGGTCAAAATAAAATTCTTGGTCAAATTCAACCAATCAGGATTGGATTTTAATCACTAACCTGCTGATAGTGTGAAATGGATTTGTCCTGCTTTGAATTTAGAACAGTCCATTCAAAGTTTAAGGGATCTTATTATCAATATATCACAACAAAACAAAATACTATTTTTTGATTGGGTTTTAGGCAGTATCAACTAAAAAGCTTCCTAAAATAAAAGATTTATCTACCAGCAATAAAGAGCCTGGCCAGAATGCTCAGATGTGCACGCTGGCCTGGCTCTATACTGATGTTAATGGCTAATCATTTAAATATCAGCAAGTGAACGGTTAGGACTGCTCTCCACTTTTTGTTATGATAACAAGGCCAAAAAACATATTGTTTGAATCACAAAAGTTGATTAAAATATTTAAACATTTCATATTTTAAAAGTACTGCATTTTTTTTTTATACCTTTCATATAAATGTATCAAAATTTTACAGTGTTCATGAGCAATATCCATATTTTATCATGACTATTATCTATGAACCAAATGTTGATAATAGATTTTATTTATACAACATAAGTGCAAGAAGCCACATTTACTACTACCAATATTTATCTCTATAAATACTGACTCGACTTTCTATAAATACTGACTTGACTTGAATTGTAAAAATATGAAAAATAAAAAGTCTAAGAACAAAGATATAAAAATAAAATCTTACAAAATCTATTGCCTTTTCCCATTTGTGCTCACACACAAAAAAAAGCAATCTGAAGTAAAAACAAATGCTAAATTTCATTCTCCAACCGCATTCCACCATTAAAATAAAAAATAAAAACATCACTTACTGTTAATGAATGAACCCAGTAACCATTGGTTACAGAACTAATTCCAACTGTGTTCAGTGCTGAACATACATAAGTCTTCGCAGACGGAATAAACATACTTGGTTTCCTTACTTTACTCATGTTACTACACACAAAGTAGGGGTTTACACACTGAAGATCAAAAATATAACAGTTTATAGAGCAATTTGATATTCAAATTTTTGTCGTTTAAAATTTGATCATGTGGGCTATGCCCACAATTTCTTTTTTTGTTTGTTTTACTGTAATTTTTCTTTTTGCTTCTACAGCTCCTTTGCCTGAGTGAATACCCTTGATATGCAAGTTTTCTATGCCGTATGCATTCTGTGTAAATAAAATAGGTACCATGTCAGAAAAGTATCAAACATGAACATTCAATTTCTACTTCCGTTTCAACAAATTTTAGTAGTTTAGTTCTTAAACAAATCATAAATGCTTGTGAAAAGTCATTTCAGACTGACAAGATAGTAAGTTTTAACATTAATATTCTATATGCTCCAATATTTTGGAATATTCTTCAAATTTTTCACTCCATACGTCGTGTCCTAAAACATTTTGTTGCACATGCAACACAAAGAGATTATCATCTACAACACAAATTTCTAATATACTACTACAGTGACATTTTAATGTTTTTTTTGTGTTTTAAAAAGCAACACCTATTAAGCTAAAACTTTCCTGGATATTCCTTTCAGATTTGCCATTAACCCTGCTGAAACCAAAGTGCTTAGACTCTACCACTAATATAGTGGTCAATCTGCAGATTAGTGCAGTCTGACTCTATTCTCAATTTTAATATTTTGATATTGAAATGCCTGTAACTTTATATGCACTGCTCAAAATTCAAATAATGGCAAATTCTTTACACATATTCAGCAGGTTACGGGTTAACCACTCTACAGTCCATCCTTTTTTTAAAGTCTTAAATGATCCACAACTGTGGGAGTTATAACCATTCCATCAAAGCATACAAGGTCCACAATGGGAAAAAGGTTTCAATCTCTTCCTTTTTTTGTTATCCTTAGTAATGCGTTGCCATGGACACGGTTACTACACATGCTTGTATTTTATTTTAATATTTTTCTTATATTTTATGATCACAACATGTGTCTTACCAGTGTATCATTTTGATACTGAAATAAATCTGTTTGTTTGTTGGATTAGGTTTTACGTCACACCAACATGGTATAGGTCATATGGCGACGTTCCAGCTTTACTGGTGGATAAAGACCACAGGTGCCCTTCAGTGCATTTTTCAAGATTGAACGGGCACCAGAGTATGCTATCTATTTAACCTATATATTAAACATATATCTACTCACCTGTACAGTAATTCCTTTGCTAGCATATTCAAAATTTAAACACTCAGATAGGTATCTCACATATGCCTGTAAAATAAATCATTATATTATCACTAGATAAGATTTTGTCTGAATGATAGCAAATATCTATTGTAAGAGATAAAATGCAAATATATGCACTGCTTATGAAAGTAACACGGAATATCATTTATCAATAAAATAGCAGATTCTTTTTCTGTCATAATGGTTTGCTTTATTTCACATTCAGACCTTTATACCGATATCAAGAACATACTTCTTTTAAGGGAAAGAATTCTATATGTTTAGTATTTCATTCTTATTCTCCTCCTGTATGACAAGTTGACAACTATGCCTTTTGAAAGTGTGTACCAGGAAATGTACATTTTTATATAAAATTGAGAAATTATAAGATACTCAAATAAATTTGTTCCTGTGACTTTTTTAAATTAATCATATACATGTATGAAGAATAAATCAATATGGACAATTAATTTATAACATTGTCTAAAGACAGATAACAAATGTGTTTATAGGATGAACAAGTTCTTTATATTACCTTACAAGCAGAGTACACGGACAACAATGGTGTAGGTGTACATCCAGCAGCTGATGCTACATTTATCACCACACCTTTCTTCTTCTCCAACATGTCTGGTAACACTATACTAGTCATCTGTTCATTTAAAAGTATATAAAATAATTATATCATTAACCCTTTCCATGCTAAATATCTTTAACAGATTTTTTCATCATTTAATCTTGATGAAACCATCATTTTAGAGAAACTAGAAATGTGTCGTCATGCCACGGATGCCCCCGCATGCAGCCAAAATTTCAGATGTTATAATATTTAGTTCCAAATTTGTTTGCACAAACTATTTTTTTCATTTTAAGTTCAAAGCCATTAAAACTATTCAATGTTAACACAAACCAGTCACTGAAACTATTCAGTGTTAACCTTTTGTAAATTGCATATTGCATATTTGTAGCCAAAACAGTGACTATATACACTTCCACAAAAGTATGAGAACTGAAACTGAAAATTCAAAATTTTTCCAACATTCAAGATAGATAACTTTGTCCAAAATCATTAAACCATGGCCAAATTCAATCTTCAACTGCTTATCCTAAAATGTATCAATATATCAAATTTGAGTTCAGTGTGTACAACCATTGGGAAGATAATGAACGAAAACTAAAAATTTCTGATTTTTTTTCAAAGTTCAAGACTGCCAAAAATCATCGAACTATGGCCAAATTTAAACTTGACCTGCGCATTCCTTTGACTTATCCATATGTCAAATATGAGTTGAATGTGTAATACTGTTGGGGAGATAATGAATGGAAACTGAAAATTTTATATTATTTTCAAAGTGTAAGGGGCATAACTCTGCCAAAAATCATCAAACCATGACCAAATTCGAACTTGACCTGCACATTCCTTTGACATATCCATATGTCAAATTTGAGTTGAATGTGTACATCTGTTGGGGAGATGATGCATGGAAACTGTTGGGGCATAATAAAAATCAAAATTTTTACTGACTGAATCGCGAACAGTGCAAACCTTGATCAGGCAGCATGCTGGTTACCATGCCAGCAGATCTTGGTCTGCACAAGTCCAAGTAGCATGGGTAGAATCTTTTGATGCCAGCAGCTTAAGGCTTAACTATCAGCCCACAGCCATAATTCTTTATAACTTTATTTATAGAACTTAATTTTGTCAGTACATTATGCGAGTGCAAATTGTAAGTCTAAACCATATTAAGATATAACTCCTAGTCCTATATTACTTGCACACTACTAAAAATAAAGCTGACCAGAACACTGACATCAAAATAGACTAGTGTGCATTAATTGCTGTTTATAGGTCAGGTAAAAAACTGACTGCTGTACTAACATTCATACTGAGATAAATAATTTAATTCATAACATGCTTCAGAATAGAAAAAATACAACTTGACAAATTACATAGCATTAAAGATAAGAAATATTATTTCACCTAATTTCTTCCAAGTAAGAAGTAAATAAAGATTTCACTTAATGACTTACCGCTGTCATAGATGTACAATTCACATGTAAAAGCTTCATGAAAAACTGAAATAATAGAAGACATAATGACATGTCAGTCTAATGCGAGATTCGAATCATTTTAAGAGATTCTAAGAAAATAAATATATGGCCTGAGGTTATAAAAGTTGAACTTTTTCTTGAGACCAATCTGTAATCTCAGGATTTTCTTTGGTCAGAGCAAATCATGTGCCAGTTTTTGACCTCTGAGTTTGAGCTTGGAAAACTGTTTTTTTATAACTTTGGAGGCTTGGACCCACTAAGAATCTTAACTTATTAAACTTAAAATAAAATTGTGATGATATGTATACTTATATAATTTTTTTTCCTGATATATTATATTTGAAAATGTTTTTATCATATCAAAAATAATCTTGAAACAATCTTAACAATTAATATACAAATGCATTGCTTTTTTGTTTGTTTAATTTTATGCTTTTCTCCAACAGTATTTCAGTCATATAGGCGGGTAGTTTCCTAACCATTGGTCCTTGAGAGTTACACCAGTACTGGATACCTTCCTCCGCGCTAAACTACCAAAGCATCTCCCGGGGATTGAACCCACACGAGAGAGGTAACTGGATTTGAAGTCATCGACTCTAGCCGCTTGACCACAAAGGCGGTTTCAAATGCATTGCAAGTTGTAGAGGATGCATGAGACTGGACAACTAAATCACTTCACATATTAGCCTCTGTCACCAGTATAGAGCTAAACCAGTCTGCATATATATGCAGTATATGCCTGACTACAAATTTTCATCTTGATATCCCAAAATTTCCATAAAATTAAACATGTACAAGTCTATTTTTCAAAAATTCACCATTTTTTAAACAATTTCTTTGCAAAATATACTTACATTATCCCTGTCTGGGACATCAAGGAAAAATTCTGGGAAATCATATGAAAGCCCCACATTGTTTACTGAAATTCAAAATATGTAAGCTCATAAAACTTAAATAACACTAATACGGTGACAGAATTTTTTAACATTGCTATCGTTTTTCAACTGAAGTGAATAAATTTACTGTGTCATAAATACATGCATGTTAACATGTAAATAATTTATTTTAACAGTTTAAAGCATTAATTTTTTTAAGAGAGCACATGTAACACATTTTTTGCCCGTAAATTATGCATAGAGCGTTTGCAACCAGCATGGATCCAGACCAGCCTGCGCATCCGCGCAGTCTGATCAGGATCCATGCTGTTCGCTATCAGTTTCTCTACTTGTAATAGGGTTGGTAGGCAACAGCATGGATCAGACTGCACGGATGCGCAGGCTGGTCTGGATCCATGCTGGTTGCAAACCCATTAAGTTGGTTTTGTTGTGACGCGGCTCATATTTGTTTTTGAGTTTTTATAATATCATACATTTTAACTGTTTATAAGCCTGTTTCCAGGAGCATAATACAGCTAGAGAGAAAACATGAAGATATAAATACAGTTGTGGCCAGTGTCAGGCCTGAACCTACAAGCACTGGGTTGATGGCGCTCACTTACACACTTTCTTTACTTGCAGCATATTTTCAATTTTTTTTTACCTTATCTAAAGAGAGGAAAAGCTCACCTAAAACACCTATATCAAGACCACGAAGCTTGTTTCTTATATCATCATAAATTGTTTCACCATTGGAATAATCTGCAGCTATAATTCTGGTCTTTACCTTCTGTGCGGATTCTGAATAAAAAAAAACAAGAGGGCCATGATGGCCCTAGATCGCTCACCTGAATTATCAAACTCATCCAAACAATTACCTAGACAAGCATTCTGACCAAGTCTCATGACAGGTGAGTCAAAAATGTGACCACTACAGTGTTGACAAGGATTATCCATATTTGAGCAGTGCGACCTAGTTTTTTACCCAGGTGACACATATTCAAACTTGACCTAGAAATCATCAAAACAAACTTTCAGACCAATTTCTAGGATACTTGGATCAAAATAGTAGCAACTAGAGTGTTAACAAGATTTTTCTATTTTTAGCTCCGGTGACCTAGTTTCACATGCGATTTCGAACTCATCCAAGCAATTACCTAGACAAACATCCTGACCAAGTTTGATGATAATTGAGTCGAAAATGTGACCACTAGAATGTTAACAAGGTTTTTCCATATTTGGGCGGTGTGACCTAGTTTTTCATCCAAGATGACCCATGTTCGATCTTGACTTAGAAATCATCAAAACAAACTTTCAGACCAATTAACAGAATATTTGGATCACAACAGTAGCCACTAGAGTGTTAACAAGATTTTTTCTATTTTTAGCTCCTGTGACCTAGTTTTTTCATCCGAAATGTCCCATGTTCGATTTATTCCCAGCAATGACCTAGACAAGTTTCCTGACCAAGTTTGATGACAATTGAGTCAAAATTGTGACCACTAGAGTGTTAACAAGGTTTTTCTATTTTTAGCTCCTGTGACCTAGTTTTTTCATCCGAGATGACCCATGTTCGAACTCATCCGAGCTATCACCTAGACAAGCATCTTGATCAAGTTTGATGATGATTGATGCAAAATGTGACCGCTAAAGTGTTAACAAGGTTTTTCTTATTTTTAGCTCTGGTGACCTAGTTTTTCATCCGAGATGACCCATGTTCGAACTCATCCAAGCTATCAACTAGATAAGCATCCTGACCAAGTTTGGGTGACCTAGTTTTTCATCCGAGATGACCCATATTCGAACTCATCCGAGCTATTATCTAAACAAGCATCCTGACAAAGTTTGATGATGATTGGGTCAAAAATGTGACCACTAGAGTGTTCACAAGGTTTTTCTATTTTTAGCTCCTGTGACCTAGTTTTTCATCAGAGATGACCCATGTTCGAACTCATCCAAGCAATTGACTAGACAAGCATTCTGACCAAGTTTGATGATGATTGGTTCAAAAATGTGACCACTAGAGTGTTCACAAGGTTTTTCTATTTATAGCTCCTGTGACCTACTTTTTCATCCGAGATGACCCATGTTCGAACTCATCCAAGCTATCACCTAGACAAACATCCTGACCAAGTTTGATGATGATTGGGTCAAAAATGTGACCTCTAGAGTGTTCACAAGGTTTTTCTATTTTTAGCTCTTGTGACCTAGTTTTTCATCCGAGATGACCCATGTTCGAACTCATCCGAGCTTTCAACTAGATAAGCATCCTGACCAAGTTTGATGATGATTGAGGCAAAAATGCGACCGCTAGAGTGTTCACAAGCAATTGTGGACGGCCGGACGGACGACGGACGACGGACGACGGACATTCACCGATCCTAAAAGCTCACCCTGAGCAAGCTCAGGTGAGCTAAAAAAAAAAATAAGAAAAAAAATAATATGAAAAAACAACCATTCATATAGCAAAAGTTCTTGCAGTCAAATGAAATCAAGCATATCTGATAATACACTATACAGTCAATAATGTGCTTACTTCCATCACCAGTTAGCGTTTTTTTTTAAAAAACACAATTTTGGCCATATCTCAGCAGGTTGTCAACCTAACAGGCTTTTCTTGATAACTAACCAGTAGTTACTACATGTACCAATATCTCCACATGTGACTGAATACTAATCAGACATGATTTCTGAATCAGTGTTTAAGAGACAAATGACCATTAGACAAATTGTCATACAGAAATTCACCCCCTCAACGATTTCAAATATTTCTCTTACATCAAAAGTTTGAATATTAAGGGTAATGAAGTGCAATGAAAATCTTATTTAACTTTACAAGTTAACAAACTTTCTTAGCTTGGATTTTTAACACCTATAACTAAAGTGCTATTTTTTATAAAAGATATTATTCAAACTTTCTCTAAAATAAATCCAACCAGATTATAATGAAATAAACTGTTTAATATTACCTATTTCAGCTGCAACTTGTTCAAGTTTGGATTGTGTTCTACTGATGAGTACAATATTAATACCATAAGAAGCCAGTTGTATAGCATATTCCTTGCCTATACCATCAGTTGCCCCAGTAACAACTGCAAAATTTACAAAACATCATTTAAGCATTTGTATTTGATGATGCAAAATTTCAGTGGATAAAAAAAACCCAAAAAACCCTGATGAAGTGTATTTAGAATGGAAGTTGTGTTCAGTCTTGGTAAAAAACCCAAACCCAACTGGTCCATTACCGATTTTATGTGCAGGTGCCAAAACATGATCATTTCTATGCAACAAACAATGTACAAGTAATAGAAAGAGCCTCACATAAACTTTTAACAAGTTCTTCAAAACAGAAAAGCAAAAAACACAGGGAAATACTGATAAGACAGTAAAAGACCTTAATTCAACACCATCATTTAATTCTGTTAAAAAAAAGTAACGGCAATGTTAACACTGACATTCTGTAATAATTTTTTCCTGAATACATTGATGGGATCTTAAACATTTAGTGTACATCAACCCAAAATTATATCAGGATACACATCTGAAATATTCAGTTAACAAATTTATTAGCAATTCCAAATTCGGAAAGGTTCAATACAATTATTCTTAATAGTTTAAATTTAATTCGGATATAAAGCTGCATTCAAATAAATGCTTTCTTATCATTGATATTTAGTGTACTTTGACCCGGAAATTGAAGCACGCACTGACCTGCCCACTCTCCCTTCTTGCGTAGATACGGCCCGATTCCTGCATATTTTGACAAAACGAAAGTATGCAGTGCTTTAAAAACTGATAAGCATAACCTCAATGCGACATATGAAACTGACACTGCTCCAGCAACTGCTAAGTACTCTGTAGCACCACCCAAAATTGTTCTCACGCTGTCTGCCATTTTGACGCTTTCAAAGGTCAAGGTTTCAAAAGAAAGAACAAAAGATATTCCTCGTACTCATTCCGGACAAAAAGGTTTTAGGTCAGACATATATATTGATTTTCTTGATTTGCAATGCTAATCCTACCTTAGAATTCAGTTTTCTTGCTAAAGAGATGATTTTTCTAGAAGAATAAAATGCCTGACACAGAATATGATCTTGTTATATGGGGTAGCAAGATCTAACCAATAGCAATACATCCTTTGCATGGACATGTACAATATGTGATGAATCAAATCTTTCGAATATTTCAAGCATCCTCTCAATCTCATCACATAACAGCTTCTCACCTCTAGTAGATGAAAATACAGATACACCTAGCTCTATAAATCCCAAAAATCCAAAACAAAAACAAATTGATTATGTATCCAAACTGAAAATTATATGCATAAACTGCCAGTCAATAGTCAACAAAAAACATGAATTTCAAAATTTATTAATAGATCAAAACCCAGATATTGTTACAGCCACAGAGTCATGGCTAAATAAAGAACACTATAACAGTGAAATTTTCCCACCTGAACTCGGCTACACAGTTTTTCGCCGTGACAGACTCAAAGGTAAGGGCGGTGGAGTGTTTATCCTTGTTAAAAACAACCTCCTACCAAGTGAACAACCAAAACTGAACACCGATTGTGAAATAATATGGATAAAAATAGAAATCAAAGGTAGTAAGTCACTCTTTCTGGCATCTTATTACAAACCACACGAACTTGATATGAAATAGTATCTTAGAATTTGAAAAATCCCTTGAACTTGTGCGTAACTTAAAAGGTACAAAGTTAATCCTTGGCGATTTTAACCTCCCAAAATTAAATTGGGACTCTGAACATACACCATATTTTAAAGAAGGCTTAAACACAAGTCCTGTGTATGATAAATTCCCTGAACATCATTGATGATCATAACCTCGTACAAATGGTCAATGAAAGTACACGAAATGACAATATTCTTGATCTATTGCTCATTTCAAACCACACTCTTGTTAACAATGTCAAGGTCATACCTGGCATATCAGATCATGACATCATATCCACAGAAATATCTTCTAGGCCTACCCTCCTCAAACAAAAAACCTCGTACTTGCACCTTGTATAAAAAGGCAAAATGGACTGAGTTGAAAACCTTCATTAAAACCTCAACATCTGAAATACTTCAAAAAGCTGAATCTTTTGTCTGTTGAAGAACTTTGGTCGCAGTTCAAACACACACTTGAGGATGGCATATCAAAAAATTCATACCCACTAAAAGAATTAACAGCTAAACCATCTTTGCCCTGGGATAACAAAATCCATTAAAAAATTAATTCATAAAAGAGATCAGCTCTATAAAATATTAAAAAACCAAAAACAAATAAAAATAAATCTGTTCATGATCAATGGCTAAAATTTTAAAAATTTGAAATCGCAAATAAAAAGCTAGAATTAAACAATCATATGAATCTTACTTAGAAAACATCCTGAACCTTGCAGATGATGATGATGAAACTAATAACAAAGTAAAGTTTGTACAAAAAAACTATACTCACTTATAAAAAACTCTAACAAGATTCACAAAAGTGTGTCTCCATTAAAAGATCAAAAAAGTCAGGTTCTCTCAAAATTAATAACACTGAAAAAGCAAACATTCTTAACAAACAATTTCAATCAGTTTTCTCACCAATTATACCACTCGCACTTAAAGATCAATGTATACAAAAACTGAGACTCATGGATCCCAGAAAGTATTGTCAGTACCACAATGAATGACATCATCATCGGTAGGGCAGGTGTACTAAAGCTCCTCGCCAACCTCAATGCCAACAAAGCTGCCGGCCCTGACAACATTAGACCAATTGTCCTGAAGGAGCTGAGAGAAGAGATTGCTGACATCGTTGCAGTTCTTTTCCAAAAATCCCTGACCACCGGTAATATTCCCAATGACTGGACCCGTGCAAACGTATGCCCTGTCTACAAAAAAAGGTGATACAAGTGATCCAGCAAACTATCGCCCAATTTCCCTTACATGCATCCTCTGTAAAAACACTCGAACATATAGTTGCCTCTCAACTATCCTCTCACTTTACCACCCACAACATACTCTTTGATCTTCAGCATGGATTCAGAGAAAGACGATCATGTGAGACACAAACATTGAACTTACTGATTACTTTGTAAACAACCTTTCAAATGGCAAACAAACAGATCTTATACTTCTTGACTTCTCCAAAGCTTTCGATAAAGTAAACCATCTTAAACTCTTAGATACCCTGCAAGAACATGGTGTTTGTCCTCAAATTCTAAACTGGATACAGTCATTCCTTATTGGCCGTAGACAGACAGTAGTTGTGGATAGTGACTGCTCATCTGAAGTCCCAGTTACCTCTGGAGTGCCCAAGGCTCGGTCCTAGGGCCCTCTGTTTCCTTCTATATATAAACAAGTTACCATCTTCTGTCCTCAAATCCCAAGTCAGATTATTTGCAGACGACACTGCTGTATACCTAACCATCAATTCCTCCTCAGACCCCCCAACTCTCCAACATGATCTAGACAATATGGTTCTGTGGGAGAAGCAGTGGGACATGGAGTTTAACCCTTCAAAATGCCAAGTCATCCATATCACCAAAAATAAGACCATAATTAAACACAAATATATGCTCCATGGCCAAATCCTAGAGTCTGTTACAAATGCTAAATATCTCGGACTAGATCTATCTGCTGACCTTAAATTTAATACACATATATCTCGAATAACTTCCAATGCAAAAGATCCCTTGGCTTTATTAAAAGAAATGTCATCACTAAAAATGAGAAAGTAAAAGAACTAGCATACAAGTCCCTGGTCCGCCCACAAGGTTGAATATGCCTCATCTATTTGGTCTCCTTATACTAAAACCAATATTGACAAAGTTGAGATGATCCAGAGACGTGCAATAAGATGGGTTAAAAGGGATTACTCCCCTCACTCTAGTGTCACAGCCATGCAGGAAGAACTGGGCTGGCGATCCCTTGAAACATCGCAGACTGGACTGTAGACTGATAATGTTTTATAAGATATACCATAACCTAGTTGCAATTAATCCTCCCAACTTATGTTCAAACCCCACATAGATTAACCAGACATATGCATCCCTTATCCCTACGTCTAAATACAGGTATCCTCCGACTACCATAAGTACTCTTTCTTCCCTCATAGCATTATACTATGGAATAAACTTCCTAGTAACATTGCCACCCTGCCCAACCTGAGTCAGTTCAAACAGGCAGTGGTGGGTTTGCAGTACTAGTCTTACTCACAGTGTTTTTAAACTATTTTATGTCTTATCATCTTGTTTCACTATTAACATTTTAACCATGACTAGAATACATTTTCAGTCTCACCTTCCAAGCATGTCAATGTTTGGACTTTTCTTTTTAGCTTTTCTCTTCACCTTTTACTAACAATCCGACGTGCACTAAATTCCTGCCTTTAACACTCGCAAGAGGGGTTGGCAGTATCCAGAGATAGATAGATAGATAGGTAGCCCACAGGCGCTTGTCACATAATCAAATATTTTACATAATTGGTCTATATATGTATATAAAGATATCTTTATATACATATATAGACCGATTATGTAAAATATTTGATTATGTGACAAGCGCCTGTGGTAGGTGGCGCCTTTTTCCAGAATTTTTATTTTTAAAAGAAAATTGCCCAAAAATTTGAAACAAAAAATTTTCCCCCTTTTTTAATTTCTAAATGGTCCCGGGTGCTTTTTTAAGAACTTCAGGGCCAAATTAAAATTTTCGAAAAAAAAGGTTAGTATCCCGGTTTTTCGCCAGTTTTAATTATAACTCCCGTTTTTCCCCTTAAAAGCCCCATTTCCATAAATCACCTAAGTCCCAAAAGATAAAACGGATTTTATGCCTAAAGTTCTTATTTAGTAACTATCATTTTAGTATGTTTGCTAATGGGCCCTTTTAAACCCTTAAATTTTTCTATCCCCCCCCCTTTATTTTGAGAAATTTTTTTTGATGAAAAAAAAAAAAAAACCGTGACGTTTAAAATAAAGGAAACAAATGTAAACAAAAAATTAAATGATGATTATTTTGGCAAAAATTGAAATTTCGGAAAAAAAATCTATCATGTATGAAAGGCATTTTTCATTGTTTTTACTATTTGTTTCTTAATCATAGAAGATGTTTTCAATTTCAGACATAGTCACTGGTCATAGTTGTTGGAACAGATGTGCCAGTCTTCTGCAACCCCGGTAAAGGGGTTTACGGTAATTGTTTTTAATTTCTAGAAAAGAATAAAAGTGACGATATACTGATTGCTTTAAATTCCAATAAGGGTTTATTGTCCGTAAGTTTATAAAAATTGTCCTCGCAGCAAACATTTTTACTTCTTCTATTTTAATGATAAACTGGCTGCTGAAAATAGAATAATCAGTCTTGAGTTAACTAGTACAGGGTCTTTCAAATATTACTATTTGAAAGACATTGACTAGTACATTACTGAATTAATTAAGACGCATGTTGGAGTTATGTACACCAGGATGATAATAAACAATAGCTTTGAAGAGGTAAATATACTTGTTTGTATACTTTTTTTTAATTCACACTGTTCCATCCTGCAGGGACATAGTGAATATCAAGTAGATAACAGTCCGTCATAGTGTTTTTCAAACAGTTTCTTTTTTCTTTCTTTTTGTTTCTTATGTTCAAAGGTAACAAGATATTTTTTTGCTGTTTGGTTTACTCGTCATTAGAGGACGCGTCATTGTCAGAAACGATTGCGATGCTTCTGTAACCCGATTCATCAAAGTCACTCAGCACCCTGTCAATGTCTATGGTGTGACTGAGGTAGATATGCATCAGAGCAAGACCATTGAGTCGCTGTTCTGAGATGGTGCTAAGGATGTACGTTTTCAGTTCCTTAGACTGCTGAATGACCTTTCAACAGTTGCTGTTGACACAGGCATTGTCAAGAGGATCCAAAAAATGATGTGGATGTTCGGCAGAAGTTGGTAGATTTCATCGACGCCTTCCACAAGATTTTCTTCCACATCGCCATGCGATAGTCGGTGCCTCCACACCTCAAGTTCTGTGTCAAGTTCCTCCGTGTCGATGAAATTGGCAACTCGTTTATATGTCCTCCATTATTTCAGGTGTGAGCTGACCAACTTTGTGCGGCAGGAGATACTGTGCTTTCATTCTTGGAAGAACATTGCACAATCTGTCCGCAAGTTCAGTAAGTAGATGATCCATGAAAGGGAGGTACAGATTCAGCCTCCAGTAGTCTTCAAAGGTGTCTGCAGGAATGTTGTTCCTGTGGACTTGTCTAGCAGCAACCCTCGGGCGACCAATTGGAATATTTTGCTGGTCAGCAAGCTCCACCGATTTCTGCCACAGCTGATTGAATTAGTCCACACTGCCCCGCTTCTCACTCAGGAGTCCATGGATCCACAGTGCATGATCAGACGCCTTTACAAGATCACAGTTAGGTTCTATCATAGAATCAGAGAGTGGGTTCAGGAAGTCAAGTGGGCCGCTAACAACACACAGGGCGACGGCAAATTCAAACGACATCATAGCCTTTTGCAAGGCCGATGCTGTTGGCATTGTTTTCGTGTCCATGCCCACTTGCAAATCAGTGAGTGTGTCAGCTATGGCCGAGAAGTTTTTACAGAAGACATTGACACTTGGGACCACCTGGTTGGGAAAAACGTTTTCACTTTTTCTCAATTGTCAGTGTGCTGTTGCATTGATAGATGGCAAGGCGTTTTGGTGCGTTTGTCAAAAAAAAAAACAACAACAAAAAAAACAAACAAACAAGATGTCACCGATAGTTGTGAACATAGACTCGACACGCATGGCAGATCGCTAGGTTTAGACGATGGTTTCGGCAGTGTACATACTTAGCATGTTGATACGCCTCAGCAAACCTTGCTTTTACGCCACGAATCCTGCCCGCCATGTTCCCAGCACCGTCGTACCATTGGCCAACAACCAATGCTGGGTCAAGGTCATGTTTTCTTATTTCTTCTGTCAGAAAAGTGGTCAGCGCCGCACCTCTTGTACTTTCAGCAACAACAAAGGACAAATATTCTTCACGGACCACATGGTCACCCGAACTTTCCCGATCCACGTAGCGTACACAGAACGCAAATTGTTCAATGTCGCTTACGCCTGCTGACTTATCTGCCATAACTGTGAAGTACTTAGCGTTTTGGCATCGTTGGGTAATCGAGCTAAAAAATTTGTTTACCATAGATAGAGATAAACTCGTACTGTATTTCTGGGCTCGTATACTGGGCATGTTTTGGTGCTGATGTCATGTGTACCTTCAGAGAGGCGTCGGCTTTTGCGAGCTAGTTGAGGAGAGCTCTTATGTTTCTGCGGTTTTCAATTTTACCGCGTAAGGCTATATTTTGTTGCCCACAAAGAATTATGGTCTCAATGATGGTTTTTTAACGCCTTCCTATTCTTTTGTACTTTCTGTCGGTAGGCCGTTGATCCAAACTCGACCACATTCTGCTTTTCCTTCCTGCAGATGCGTACAAAGTGGTCAGCTCTTGTGATGGAATTCATATGTTTTTTTTGAGTGTGCCAATTAAAGTCTATTATTGCGTTGCTCCAGTCAATCAACGTACGAGCAACAGGCACATTTTTCAGCCGCATTAAAGGCAAAACACGGAGCACAAAATACCCCATCAAGTAAAGGGCTGTACCTTAAGTAAGGGTGCTTTTCTTGTTCAAACACAAAGTCCGGCATTTGCCTACTTGTTGCCTTTTTTCCGAGTTTGCTGAGAGGTGCAACCCAACCTCTATGTGGCTCGAACCGTGTGGTGAGGACAGCATATTTTTTAGAATCTGCATGGCATTCTTAGTCCGCTTTCGATATCAAAACTTCCGATATCAAGGAATCATCCTGAAAGGGAACTTGTAACGGTTCTAGAGGGGCCAGAAGAAGAAGCGGGGGACAAAGAAGAGGAGGTGGACAGAGAAGAAGGGGGAGAAGGAGACGCGACATTGGTGTCTGATTTGCTGATCACAGGAGGGTCACTTGCCAGGACTTGTGAATTCTGTTTTGTTTCTGCCTGGTCAGATTCATTATCGACTTGTATGGGGTCCTGTTTTAGCACCTTAAACAGGGTCGCTTGTCCTGGAATTTGGCGGATGTTTCTTTTCAGTTTTATTGCTTATTACGTATCAGATTTAATTATCAGATTTATTGTTTAAGCAGCAGTATGATACTTTCCTGGGATTAAAACCGTTTAAAGTCGGTGCTAGGGGGCATAAATGATGCTGTATTTTCTTCTTACAACATAGAACCGACTCTGCGATTTTTAACAATGACATTTTTGTTTTTGTTTTTCTTGCTCTCCAGGTATTTCCTCTATATCAGTTTCCTTAAAGTGGAAATTGAGGTTTACGTTAAGTAAAATAACAACAAAAAAGTTGACATAGTTACAAAAAATAATGTTTTCGTTACCCTCGACACTTATACATAAATCACTGACAATATTTAAACAGTAAGTTAATTCATGGTAAGCATGTTGTGAAATAGAAGTTTCGACCCAAATAATAATAATAATAATGATGATGATGATGATGATGATGATGGTGATGATGATGGTGGTGATGATGATGATGATAATAATAATAATAAGAATAATAAATAATAATAATAATAATAATAATAGTAATAATAATACAATGTAATAATAATAATAATAATAATAATAATAATAATAAAACAACAACAAAAAACCCCGAAAAAACACGACACATTATAGGTCATATGGCGACGTTCCAGCTTTACTGGTGGAGGAAGATCTCAGGTGCCCTTCCGTGCATTATTTCAGATACGAACGGGCACCTGAATAGAACCACCGACGTTCCTTAAGCTAGCTGGATAGCTTCCTCACATGAAAGTATCGGGATTCGAACACACAGCGGTGAGGGGCAAGTGGTTTAAATGTCAACGACCTTAATCACTCGGTCACGGACGCCACACAATAAAACAACAATAACATCAACCACAACATACACATTCATGAACACTTTGCCTCAGAAAAGTTATACATGTATAATAATTTGCTTGATATATACCACTATCATGCATTTGAACTCTCACTATTTAATTTATTTGTGTCACCCTTCAATAGTTTCAATACCAAAATGTTTTGGTGCTTTTCATCATCATCATCATCTTTATCATCATCATCATCATCATCATCATTTTAATATTTATCATTATCATCATTATCATATCATTTTGGTGTTTATCATCATCATAATCATAATCGTCAGCGTTATCTTCATCATCATTTTGGTGCTTATCACTATCATGATGATGATTATCATTATCACTAAATCTGCCACCCCACCCTCATCATCATCACCATCATCATCATCATCATTATTGGTTCTTATCATCATAATCATCATAGCCACAAACCTCCTCCTCCTCCTCCTCATCATCATCATCATAACCACTAACTTCATTTTCATTACCATTGTTACCGTCATCATAACCATCATTTTATTGAATTTATTCTTGTCATAATCATCATCATCATCATTTAATCTACCATCATCATCAATATCATCATCATCACCTTCATCATCATTTTTGTTTCTTATCATCATCATAACAACCAATATCTTCATCATCATTATAATCATTATCATAATCATCAGCAGCCCCATCATTATCACCATTCGGTTTTATTTTTAATTTTCTCATGGCAAAATTAAAGAATGAACATTTTTTATGTCACCCACTTCAAACATAGAAAACAATATATTATTCGAAGTATTTACACTAACAATTAGTGTAAGTGTTTTTGAAGACTTCCGTTTTAGACTAATTTAGATCAACAGTGTCAAGGGAAACAGTGGCACAGTTTTTCAAGTACAGTTCTATTCTTCGAGTCAAATTGACATCGCTCTAAGATGTAAAGTCTACAATTTGAATGAAAATATTTTGAAGTGGTCATACACCATTCTCAGGGCACCAGTTATGAAGAGTGCAAGTACAAAATGTATTCTTAGGATGTTTTATATATTTATGAAATAAATATGACTGGGAATTCACTGTACTTTTTCCTTTTATTGGCATTATGCGTAAGTTTTTTTTTATTTTTCATTATTATGATATTAATTTTTTTAAATCATTAACAGCTTTCGTAAGCAGAAATGCATTTTATTTGATCGATTCGTACTTAGTGGTGAATAAAATGTAGGTAGATAGGTAGATAGGTGGAAATGGTTTTTGGTGTAGGTTGGTAGGTAAAATGCTTTTTATTTGACCGTACATAGTGGTGAATAAAATGTAGGTAGGTAGATAGGTATGTGGAAATGGTTTTTAGTGTTTGATAAGAATGAAGGTCGGTAGGTAAAATGCATTTTATTTGATCGTACATAGTGTTGAATAAAATGTAGGTTGGTAGGTAGAAATGAATTTCATATGACAAAACCTTGTGCTGAATAATGGATAATTCTGTAAGAAATGTAGGTAAGAATAGATACATTTTTGATAATTGTAAGTAGTGGTGGATAGAGGATGCGTTTGAAACAAATGTAGATAGGTGGGACATGGATTTTATATAACCATACACAGTGATGAATAAAGGATACTTCTGAAAAAAAATGTAGGTCGGTAGAATGCATTTTTATTACAGTACATAGTTTTTAATAATGGAAACTTTTGTAAAAATCAAGGTAGGAAGAAATGCATTTAATATGACCACAAAAGTGATGACTAAACGATTCTTTTGTAATAAATGTAGGTAGCTAGGAAATCAATTTACATGTCGGTACATAGTGGCGAATAAGGGATAATATTTTTGTAATTGATAGAGAGAAATAACACAGGTAACATTGAAATAAATGTTGGCATGTTTGTATGCATGTATGTGTTCTAGGCGTAATGAGGGTACATAAGCCCTTTCAGACACTGAGAACATGGACCCCGGACATGTGACCATTCATGTCTTTCAATGTTATTGCCCTATAAATTTTGAATTCAATAATTAACTCAATAATACTAAATATGTATGCAATTCAATTTTTATGATGTGCACGGGAGGAGAATGAGACCATTATGTGCATCATGTACAAAATAAGTTGTTATGCAGTTTATATAAAGGTACATACTGTATAGTGTAGGAAATGGACCTGTAAATCATGCTTATTTTGGGGATCAAGTAGTCTGAGTTTCCTACACTAATAGTGGTGAATAAGAACTCCCGTAAAATGTAGGTGAGAGTAAGATGAACGCACATATAAGCGGATAAGACTAATTCCAGACTGTCTATAAAATTATCTATAGATGTATTTTGTATGTATCTGAACGTACTATATAACTACGAAAAAAGGTAATAGTTTATATCTCATAAAATTGTTTTAACATTATAGAAGATATTTAGTAATATATCACGTGTGCGTTATAAAATCAGACGTTGAATGGTTAAAAGAATCCAATTATATCACTGGTTGTTCAGATCAAGGCACTTCTAAAGCAGCATACCTGAAGATTCAGGCTATTTTTTCATGAAACCGTTTAAAAGTACAATAGTGTGAAGTAAACAAAGACAGTAATTTATATATTGTAAATGGCTATTAAAATATGCTTAAATTACTCCAAATAGGTCAGAATATGTGAAAATAGACCTTACTGCGTTAGTCACGCAGTTCAAATATGGTGATAAATACTGCAAAATCAGCCATTAAACGCATCTAACATATTGTTACTTATACTGAACGTTGAATCTTTATACTTTTCCTAAAATCTTAGTACATTTTTCTCAAGTTTGTTTGTCTTGAAACATTTTGGCTCATCTAGAAGCATGCAGTTTAAAAGTACATACAGCTGCAATTGCAAGTTGCTTTCAAGCATTATTGAATGTAAGTTTCCAAAGCATTGTTTAAGTTCAGGGTACCGTGCTCATTTTAAGCTATTGTCGCCATATGCTATCAAAATATTCCATTAAATCATAAATTAAAGTCGGAATCATCTAAATTGAATTTTAAGACATCTTATTAATCTTTTTAGGAGACTGAATGAAAAATGTAAGAATCGTAAAAAAGCGATTTATCAATTTTGTGATCGTGATTTCTTCAAGCGTCTAGAGTTACAGCTCCCTCCTTAAACTTTGAAAGGGCTCGTCCAAATTAAAAACAGGGTAGATCCATTATGAAAATTTAGCTAGTTATGGATTGAAGCACTTTAAAAGTATATACCGGACAAGGTACTTGAATTATTAAATGCATAAATCTCGCTTTTTGTCCCACTGAAATGTACCTTAAGACGTCTAATTCATCATTTCCCAGTAATGAGTAAAAATCTGAGAATCTGCGAAAAAAAGCTATATTTCTATCTTTGGGATCTTGATTTCGGCGTCTACCTCTCCGACACCAGAAAATGTACAAACAAACAACAATCAAACAGATATTTTAAAACTCATTCGAAATAGTTTGAAAAAAAGAAATGTCACATTATTTCAAACTGAATTTTACAAACAAAAGTGATTTGTATTAAACACGTGTAGTCAATTCGGACGAAAATTAGGAACTCCACTTGCGATGCAATATAGAAAATTAAGGAACAAGTATAAGCATTGAAAAACATTGTTTGAAAGAACTGACAATTACAAATTATGTACACGATACAAAATTTCTAACTCAAATAAGGGCTGTTTAGATTTACTACGAGAAAAAAAATCGCGATTCTGAATTTCCAGTTATAAAACATTTGCCTATTGCTTTTAACTAACCTGAGCATAATTAATAAGAATTTTGTAAAAAAAAACAATTTTGTTTTGTCAGTTTAAAAAGGTCTACTCATCATGAGCTGTATGTAGTCTTGCATCTTAATATAATTAGGTAAAAAGAAACACTTGCCCCGATTTAAAACACAAGATATCAATACTCGTATCACGTCAAACAAGAGATTTCATTCATCATACTGCCCCTCGTTGTGCATATCTGTTAAATTTCGTAAAATGTTTTTTTTAAATATACTCCTTCCTGAACAATATAGCAAGTATTTATTCCTGATCTTTTAGAGAAATATTCCATATGTTATTTTTTCCCCGTAGGAGCCTACACATTGGTTTCGAGCTTCGTACATGAAGATAGTACATTTAAGTATTCCGGTTCAATAAAAAAGTGAAGCGGATGGCGTACCCTAGGTCTTTATGTCATCCATTTATATCATATGGTATTAAATTCTCCATTCTGGTTGGCTTGAGGCAGACGGGAGAAGGTAAGAAATGGTCAAATGTTAATTTTATATGCCGCCGTCCGTGGACATCGACAATCATAAACTGTTTGATAACATACAAGCATGTACGAGTCATATACTGTTGAAATATTATTATATTTTAGACAATAAGAGATGTTCATTGCCTTGGATATATAGAGACGAACTTCAAGGAATTTGTTAACTTCGAGGGAAAGCGTTTCGATGGGAAGTGTTGTGACAAGTCAGGATTTTGGAGCTGGGGCGGTAGCAAAGACAAATGCACAGACGAATGTGACCATACTTTCATCATCTGTTTGGGAAATGCCACGCAGTAAGTTTTAACAGATTACATGTAATACTCGCTTATATATGTATAAATAATATTTGCCGTAGTGGAATATGTAAAAAAATCATATCTCACCAAGAAAAGTGAAAATATCAAATAGGCCAAAGACCGTGTATAAGGAGTGAAATATAAAACAATTTACTTCGAAATAAGATTCATACCATATTTTCATATTCCCAGTATTTGAAAATGGCGACAGTGATTATCTGATGATTATCCCTGTCCGTTCATGCGTACGAGCGTAAGTTTGTGGTAAATTGAATTGATCACCGCAACGACTGCCACAATGATTTGTTAACAATATTAACATTGATTCTTCTTATCACTGCTATTTCTTCGTATAACCACTCATTAATACATATCTTATGTTACACTGACATTTACAATATTTTTTAGTAAACGACTATTGTATTTTGGAATCTTATCAAAGTGTTACTATAAAAATACATGTACTTGTAAAAAGGTGAAATCCAGCTATGAATGTTTCTCCCTATATCTTATATGTTACGGTTCTGACCAAAGTACATGTTAGTTCTGTTCAATGGTCATAAATCATTAACATTTATGTCAAGGTTTTATAGAAACTTCGTTTAAATACATGTACAGGGTGATCCAAAATATCTGATACTGTTTTGAAGTTGAATAAATAAGTCATACCTGATGCAATAATTAAGTTCTATATACCATTTTCAAGAGAATTGTCATAAGTGTCTGTCATAAGTAATTTACGGGAATGTTGACTTCACGACGTCAAAGATGTATAAAAATTGTATTTGATATTCCGGCTCTAACCAATTACATTAGATGAAGACTTAAACTCCACATGGAGTATATTTAAGCTGACGTGACATGGTTCTATCATACCTTGTGATATCTTTTTCTATCACACCTCATGGTATTTTTATCATAATAATAACTATAAGTACCATCAGTCAAAGTCCGAGAAATGAGGTTGTCAACCCTAGTATGTTACTTAATTAAGTTAGTTCGCGGACAGAACTGTACGATACAAAACAGATAGAGAAATGAGATTACACAAGATATTTGAATAGGTCCTTAAAACAAATAAAATATTCTTTCTGTTTCTACTTATAAACTGTAGGTATGAATATAGAAATCAACTCCAATTGACATAAAAAGACAACAACGCACACACGCAAAAATCAACTTTAAATTCTTCATCAGGTTTATATTCTTAACAAACTATGAAAAATTCTTCTCTGGATTTTAGATCAAGCAGCATGTCCGAGTGTGAATATGGTCAGCAAGAAATTGACCAGGTCGGGGGCAATAAAATCACGTTTAATGGTAACGTGGGAGCTGCAAGGAACCCAATTAAGTTTCAATTTGGAACATGGCCGGTAGGTATGAGCATAGGTTTAAATTTTTTGGTTGAGTTTATTATGACGCACCAACGCATTACAAATCATATGGCAACATTCCAATTTACTGGTGGTAGAAAACTCCAGTTGACCCTCCGTGAATCAAGCTCAGGTTATTATAGGTTCCATTATCACCTTATGAAACCATGTGCGGGTGTAACTTACATTTACCATTACCGACCATCTCAATCAATTAAACCGAGCAACATTTTCAGTTATGTTGTTTTGTGCGTTTTAAGGGATTCCGTTTTCTCTATTTTATAAGGAATTGTGCTGTATGAAATAAAGTAAAGGAATTTAATATTATGTTTATTTAAATATCTCAGAGAGGCCAATTACATGTGTGTTATTGCATTGCATATCATACGCAGTGTTATAAATAAAATAACACTAAAAATGGTTATTAGAAACATTAAGATCTATCTAGACAAAATTTTTAACAAAACATATCACACGAACATATCACACGTGGAAACAATGCATGCAGATTATTCTTGTTTGTAACTATACATTTCATATCTTAGTGAAAGTTTATATTAACTAGCCAACTAAATTGATCCCTAAATGCTTATAACAATTCTTTATGATACATACAACATAATAACAATGATACCATTTAATCCAGGGTGCTGTCAAGGTAAAAATTGATGTTCATGATACAGACGGTGACGACGAGTATGACTTCATTGATCATTATGAATACCAGTACAACACCCGGGACCTTCGGAGAGAAATTTATGCCCCGCAGGAATCAGTCGTGCTATTAGGTACTCGTACAAGGTTAGTATTTCCACTATATAATTATGCTATAATAGGGACACGTTCACGGACGGCTAGTATTTCCTCTACTCGTGTTAACAGGTACTCACACAATGTTATTATTGGAGAGGTCATCAGACCTCTCCACAGTGTTGAGACTGATTGCTGGTGGCATTCATTTTTGCGTATCTGATTGTAGTCAATGAATCTCATTTAAAGCGTAAAATCATTAGGAGCAGTCTACAAAAATTGTTTTGCGCATGCTCCGTTTCAAAATACGACTTAACTTAAACGAAAAATTAACATCGAAGTGAACAAATCGGTACAAAGAAAAATCGGAAAATATCATTTACGTTACTTAGCGCTACGTGGATGTTTCATACCGTTTTAATATTTTAAACTGTATAAGTCGATTACCGTATTGTTTTCTGAATAGTGTTTTACTATTTCATGTTCCGATAAATAGTAACAGTGAACATTATAGCTACAGTATCACCATGCACTATTATATGACCGAGTGAACCGTGTACCGAAATTTTGCTGCTCCTTAAACTTTTGAACTGGTATGACTAAATAACGCAACGGAGATTTTTTGGCGCAAATGGCACAAATTTTACTCAAGTTTGATTTTCATCAAATATTGTGGTTAGAGGCATGCAGCTTTATATACTGTTTATTCCAATCAAATGATATAAACATTTTTGTATGTAAATCCTGGACTTAAAATTGTTTGATTAAAATACTTTATGCCCGTTTTGGAAAATGTAGAAGAAATGTTTCCATATACTTACCGAAACTTCAACCGAAAATTTGCTTATTGAATTTTACAAGAAACTTTTATTTTGATACAACTTTTAACATATATATTAACATATCATTTATTTTATATTTAGTAACAGAAAGAGCATCGAAACATGAGGCTATCTGATTTGTATGTGGGGCGTAGCCCCAAAGTATTAGTCAGATTGCCGAGTGTTTTGATGTTCTTTCTCTTTTGTATCATAGTCAAACATAAAACACGTTCCCTGTTGTCACAATATGAAACCCCACAAAAAAGGAACTAATGAACGAGCATCTAAATATGATATTTTTGTCGCTTTCTCTGCCGTCACAATAAGTAAACCCCAGCAAATATGAGCCAACAAATGGGCATGCCAATGAGTGCGGGTAACTGATACCTGCACTCCAGTTAACTCCCTGTGCATGTATATGTATATGATTTAACTCTGACACATTTTCAACAGAAAGGTCCCCAAACTATGATACAAGTTCCCTTTGTAGAACAGGTATCCCTTTATGCGCCAAGAAAAAAGTCCATTTCTCCGGCATATAATCTTTCAAAACATTTTAAAAAATGAAGTGTTAAACAAACTTTCATTATGATACAATATTCAATATATTAAATAAATTATATTTTGTTAAATAATTGTGAATTGTAAAATATATCCCCGAATATTTTCGATCCACAGCAGCAAAAAGACCTCTTGCATGCTTCTTTTTAAAGAAGCAAAATCGTTTACACTTCTGATACTAACAGATTCTCGGACAATGTAAGTATTTCACCTATTCGTCCTTACAGGTTTTCGGTTGATATATTACCTTAAACATAAAACAAATGTTTTGTGTTGAATTGGTGAAAAATTCTTATTGTTCGTTCTTCAATTATTCAGATTTGTCATGGAACTAAAAGTTTACTGTGAACTAAATTTCTACGGTCCGGAGTGTGGTATATTTTGCAAGGAAACAGACGACGTTACCGGCCACTACAGGTGTGATCTTTCCACAGGAGCTAAAATATGTAAACAAGGTAACATTGTTATAATTCATGTTCACTTGTTTACTCATCCAACATCACTTCAGACACATTACACAATTAAATAGTATGGACCTGTTGTATTTTGTCTATTATTTGTTAACTTTGCTAATTCCTTAACCCAGATATACACGCCTTTGAACGCCTTTTTCACCCCCCCCCCTACTTTTGGTCACAAATGGTGAAAAAATGCCTTATTTAGGCCCCCAACTCTTGTTTTTGTTTGAAAAATGTTGTTTACAACGTGAGCACTTTTACGGCGCCGCCCCCTTTTCAAAAGATACATCAAGGGTTTCCAGAAAGGGGATGTGCCCCCGTTCTGTTTGGGGGGTTTAAAGGAGAGTGGCAGCCCCCTCATCGCCAATACACTTTTGGACTTTTGAGAGGCTAAAAATGACCCCAGGTCGATCATAAGATAACGTGTAACCAACGCTGAAAAGCCTTTAAGACTCTATCTCAATCCATTGAGAAGTTGCAGCACTTTGATATCAATTTATATGGAAAAAATTAACGCAAAATAGTGATTTTTGGCAGTTTTGAGATGTTTCCACGTTGTCATGGTAACAGGAAATTTAAGCCTGAGCATGTTGTTACAAAGGCAATGGTCCAATCAACATTTGTGCCAAGTATCATTAGTATTGAAGCAGTTTTTATTGTTTTATAGCAATTTGAACTTGTAACGGGAGACATTTTAATAAAAGCAGCAATTTTTCACAAAATGCTCATGCAATAATGGGTTAAGTGACCCATTCAAAAATATGTTTTTGTGTTATTTCTTACTCATACTCTGCACATATAAATTAGCAAACGATAAAACAGCAAATGGTTGAGTTCAGGGATTAGTTTGTCCAGGAAATAATGTAAATATAATTACATTGACAGGTTGGAAAGGTGATGACTGTCTGACAAATATTGACGATTGTGTCGGAAACCGTTGTTACTATGGTGCCACGTGCATTGACCATGTCAACTTTTATAGCTGCCTGTGTCCACAAGGCCGAACAGGTACGTCTTTGTAACATGATTGCTTATTTTATGCACGTCATTTCAAGATTACTAGCGTTAATGCATCTGGAAAGTAAGCTATGCCGATTTGCGGATGAATGATTTATAAACTAATAAAAAAAGAACATGAACAATGCTTTCAATTTGGGCTGAACCTTTCCTCATTTTTAGGGAAAATTTGAAAATAAATACTGATGAAATAGTTGACAGTTCAGAACATGATCGCCTGGTCTGCATCTGATCCAGTTGCCGCAAACAGGAAGCTTAGTCTGTTTGTCAAAGAGTCTTTCTGTCTTGTGTTTTTCAACTTTGAATATACAAACATAGATTGTATGCTGAATAAAACTTTAAAACTTTGGTTCTAAAGACCGCCTCCGTGGTCGAGGGGTTAGAGTCGATGACTTCTAATCCAGTTACCTCTCTGATAATCATATAATTGTATAGAAATAATTTCATTTGATATTCAATGCTAACTTTTAGGTGAACGCTTCTTAAAACATATGTTTGTCTTGTTTTGTGAAAGAAACTACCAGTTGCAATTTAGGCTTCTTTAGATGAAGAAATTCCGGTAAATGCTTGCATTTGTCAAAGAAACCCTGCTTTTTATTGGATAAAAATGTAAAGAAAGTCATGCCTTTTGATTAATAGGCAAGAACTGCAGTGAGCACAACATTGACGAATGTCTTAGTGATCCATGTGGGAATGGCGGCAGGTGTTTAGATAAAGTAAACTCTTTCGAGTGTCAATGTCAGTATGGCTATACTGGTGAACTCTGCGAAGCCCGAATAGATTATTGTGATCCCAACTATTGTCTTAACGAAGCTACTTGTTCAAGTTTAGAGACTACTTTTGAATGTTATTGTACTGAGCAGTTCTACGGTCTGTGGTGTGAATCAGACGTAAACGAGTGTGACAACGGTTCTGAAGTTTGTAATGGCAGGGGATTGTGTGTAAATACGTTTGGAAACTATCTATGTGCTTGTATGGCCGGCTACGAGGGAAAGAACTGTGAATTAGAAATGGACGAGTGTCTGATCGTGGAAACCCCGTGCCTTAATGGGGGACTTTGTATAGATTTGATTGGAAGGTATCGTTGTGATTGCTCCGGCACAGGGTTTCATGGAACTAAGTGTGAACAGGAAATTAACGAATGCGAAAGTGATCCTTGTGAAAATGGAGGTTATTGTAAAGACCGGCTAAATGACTTTTCATGTGAATGCCCAGTCGGTTTTACAGGATTTACGTGTGAAATTACATTAACAATATTATCATCATCATCAACAACATCATCATCATCAACAACAACGACAACACCGTCATCATCGTCACCATCTTCGTCATTAATACTAATCCTATTGCCACCACCACCAACAACATTATCACCATCATCATTCACAACAACAACAACAGCAGCAGCAGCAGCAACAGCAACAATAACTATAACACCATCACCAAAAACATCATCATTATCGTCACCAACATCATCATCATATGTAATACCACCACCACCACCACCACCAACATCATCATCACCATCATCATCATTAACAACAACAACAATAAAAACAACAACAACACATCCACCACCACCACCAATAACACCATCATCATCGTTACCATCATCATCATCATCACTTATACTACCATCACTACCACCACCACCGTCAACAAGGCCAATAACATCAACAGCAACTTCAGCATCTTCACTTGAAAACATCACTTCTCCAAGGTATGAATTAACTTATTCATTACCAAATAATGATTTTTTATCTTCAGCTTTTAACTGTTTATCGACAAAATCTTTGTCTCAAAATGTAACTTTAACTACAGCGCAACTACCCTCCACTATTGCAAATGTCGAATTGAAATATTTTTTTGAAATAAAAAACGTAGTACTATTGAAGTACATCTAAGTTAACTTGATTTTTTTATCTAAATGAGATGATATAATCTTAAGACATAACAAAACATATTTTAGGTTTTTATTTTTGAATAATAGTTTAAAGTGAAATTATTCAGATTTGACATGGAACTAAATATTTACTGTGAACTAAACTTCTACGGTCCGGAGTGTGGCACTTATTGTAGGGAAACAGACGACGAGACCGGCCATTACAAGTGTGATCCTTCCACGGGAGCTAAAATATGTAAACAAGGTAATATTGTTATAATTGATGTTTACTAATCCATCATAACTTCAGGCACAACACATTAAAAAAAAACAGCACATGTATCTCGTGGTAATAGTGCATATTAGCAACAATGCTTATTAGCAATCCAAGAGTTGTCATAATTATAGTCTCTTAGGGTAATAGTACTTTTTATCAACCAGAGAAATGAAATAATTATTTCAGTTCAAAGGTTGTTATTACGACATGTGTTATTTTTCATTATACCACTACGGATGGCATTCATTTTTTTATCAGGGGAGAGAACTTGAATGTTACGTTTTCGTACGTCTATATAGATAACTCACCCCTTGGAAATGTTGCAAACATTTTCTAGGATGATAAATCGAAATAAGACCATGTGACGTAACATTAAGCTTAAAGTAACATTTCGTAAGGTATGATACAAACAGTATGGTCCTTCTGTGTTTTGTCATAAAGTTATTTGTTAACTTTGATAGATCCTCTAATGACTCAGTCAAATGTGAATATGTTTGCGTTTGTATTTGTTATATATCCCGCACAACCACTTACAAAATTGACAAACCTATTACTAACTCGACATTTTTTCTGCGAATTGTATTTTCACTTTTTGAATTTGACTGTGTCTATTCTGGATGTTGTGTATTTAATCTGAAATATTCACAAAGATTAAACTTAGATTCTCATGGCGTATAGAAGTTATTGATCGCAAAGAAGTAGAAGTATAACAATCACAAGGGTATTAAAAAGAAAAAAAAACTGGATGAAATGCATGCATATGCACATATTCGGGAGAAATAAATGTCATTACATTGACAGGTTGGAAAGGTGATGATTGCCTAACAAATATTGATGATTGTGTCGGAAACCGTTGTTACTATGGTGCCACCTGCATCGACGGTGTCAACTTTTACAGCTGCCTCTGTCAACCAGGCCGAACAGGTAAGTCATATTGATATGATTTCTTATTTTGTGTGCGTTATTTCAAAATGCATCTGGACAGAAAGCTTTTTTGATTTACAGATGAATAATTTATTAAACTTACCTTTTTCCATGGTCGAGGGGTTATAGAGTCGATGACTTTTAATCCAGTTACCTCTCTGGCGTGGGTTCGATCCCCGGGAGATGCTTTGGTAGTTGGTAGTACTGGTGTAACTCTCCAGGAACGATGGTTAAGAAACTACCCGTCTATATGACTGAATACTGTTGGAAAAGGGCATAAAATGAAACAAACAAATAAACAAACAAACAAAACAATTTTTTTTTCAGTCAATCAAGAACAACGTGAACAATGCTTGCCTAGTCCAACTTTCAATCTTGACTAAATATTCCTCATTTTTAGGGAAAATTGAAAATAAATACTGAGCGAATGTGAACAGTTCAGAACATGATCTCCTTATGTTGGCGCGCATCAGTTGTCGCTAGCAGATTAAGGGTTAAATTACTTGATAAGAAAGACCTTTTTGGTAGTGAAGATGATTGACCTATAATGACAGGTTGCCTTCGGGTTGCTATTCTGGTGTGACTGGATTTTGTTGTGGGCTGCGTTCTGTGAACGTTGCCTTGCCTTGTTGTTCTTTATTCTAATTTGTTTTTATAAACATTCGAGACCATGCAGGGTCCAATGTTATAAGGTAAACTATCTAAGCTCACACTCAGATCTAAAGTATGTGATTGGTCAGAAAACAGCACAGAATGTACATGTATATTGACAAATGAAATCCTGAGATTTGAGACTAACTCTGGGCCTTAGAAAAGATATTGTTTGTTTCTTCTGCAGATACCCTAATTTTTATTGCAAAACGATATTTAACATAACATGGAAGCAGAGTATGTCTGTTAATGAGTCTGTCTGTCTCATGTTCCATGTTTCCATTTTGAATATACAACATAGACCTGATGGTGAATAGAACTTTGAAACTGTGAAATGATACTTAGCATTCACATTTTACTTCAAACGTAAATGAAATTATGCTCAAATGAAAAAAATAATATTTTGGATAATTTACCTTCCTACCTACCTACCAACCTACCTATCTACCTACATTAACTAACATGTGTCGCGGAAGGGGAAATAAAGATACTTTAATGACTGGTCTTGAAAAAAAGTATTATAACCTCAATGCACATTACATTCTGATGACTATAGATATCTAGGAAAATATAACTGTTTGGTTGCGTATTGTCATTGACTGATTTGTTGTTTACAAGGGTTTACTTGTGAGGCTGAAATAAACGAATGTGAAAGCGGTCCATGTCAAAATGGCGGGAAATGTTTGGATGCGTCTAACAGTTTCATCTGTAAATGTGCCCGCGGGTTTGTCGGATTATTGTGTGAAGTTGAAATAGACGAATGTAGATCGGGTCCATGCTTAAACACGGTAAACTATAGTTTATAACTGAACTACATTTCATAAAATACTTTTTATTTAATTTTGAAAATAGAAAAATAGTGTTGTTTATTTTTCTATTTATATGTTGTACATATTTGCCAATTTCAATATAATCTCCTTGATACAATGGACTGTAGGGGGGCACTTAATTGATTCTTATACTGTATAATTTCCACAGACGATTTGGGAAAAAGGATTTAACAGATAAAAGATGTGCGTGTTTTATTGTTTAAACCCTTAAGTAAATCAAGCAATCTGCAATATATAAATATCACATCCTAGCGAGGGTGTTCGCCCGAGACAGGTGATTATGATTATTAATTTGTCAAACATATTGGTTATATAGTAAGGTTATATAGTAAATAAATTAACTGAGGTGAAATAATATTCGCTCGAGTGTCATAACTTAAGAAATAACTTAATTATTCCTTCCATATTAAGCAAATAATGGTGAAACATATTTTTCTTAAGTTTCTTCACTTGAGATTTTATCCAGACAAATGACATACAAGCAAATCGGTTTCAGGGAGTTTGCATTGATCAGAGAGGTGATTATATGTGTGTATGTCAGGACGGGTTTTCTGGGGAGCGATGTGAGTTGGACCTAGACGAATGCCTGTCAAACCCATGTATAAATGCTGACAGGTGCATAGACTTACCTGGAAATTATATGTGTGAGTGTTTCCCAGGTTTCAAGGGTAAGTTTAAGTTGATTGATATTATATTATTAAAAGCACACCATCATGCCTCAAAAATATAAAAAAAATTGTTTATGTAGGAAGGGCAAACATGAATAGTTTGTAGATGCTTGTTTCCTTAGGAAAGAAGCTCTAAATATGAAATTATTTGTCATAAAAGAAGTAAAATGTAAACAGAGTAGTATTTTGACTTCCAAACAAAATACTCAATCACTTTAATTGCACTTAATACCAAAAACAACAGAAGAAACCGATGGTTTAGATAGTTGACCAATAAGCAACTTTTTTTAACTATAAAAGTACCTAAAAAGTCTTTAAGAAATGAAATTCAAAACATTTCTGGGCCTTTTAAATTGTTGTATTGTAGATATCACTATTTGATTACGACTGAAATAACTTAATTGTATGTGTAAATTAGGTCTATTTTTTAATAGATTCCATTTCTTCATTATTCATAACACAATATGATAATTATATAATTGTATATCAATAATTTCATAATGAAATGCAATGCTTACTACTAGGCGAACGCTTCTCAAAACATATGCTTGCCCTGTTTTATAAAGAAACAAGTTTGCTTCTTTAAAAAGAAGCATGCGAGAGGTCTTTTTGCTGCTGTGGAAAATTTGTTTAATTCGAAAATATTTGGGGATATTTTGCATAACAGACACAATGAATGTTTATAAATTAGAATTATTAAACAAAATATAATTTATTATATATATTGCAATGAAAGTTTGTTTTACATTTCATCTTTTTTAATGTTTTAAAAGATTATATGCCGGAGAAATGGACTTTTTTCTTGGCGCATTAGGGATAATTTTTCTACAAATTTTTTTTGTAAAATTACTTAATGTAAATTAAATGATATATACCATTTACATTTGTATTTTAAATTCAGTTACCTTTGTAGAAAAATTATATATATATTAAAAGTATTTTCAAAATAAATGTTTCTTGTAAAGTTCAATAAGCAAATTTTCGGTAACTGTTTTGTTAAATATAAGGAATTATTTCATGCTTTCCAGTGTTTTATTGTAATATATCAGATGATTATATTCTGATAAACCACTAGTGAAATTTATAAAATATAATTTTCACTGTAGCCGGACTATATCTGAATGCGGATGAAAAGGAAATCATAACTAAATGAAATAACAAGCAGAAATAATTGCCGTCATGCGTAAATTTTGCTTCTTTAGGAAAAGAAAGTCGATGTCATCATACATCATGTAAAAATGTAACAAAATTAGAGAAAATTAACAGAACTATATTTCAAAATTGATGATGTGACGTCATGATATGATGACGTCACATAGGAGAATGCGTGACGTTACGCGGTAAAATCAGTAAAAATATACCTAAAATCCCTTAAAAAGCATAAAATAAAAAGAAAATTTATTTGTTTTACATATAAGATTGAAATATATTTCATTCGTGAACACCAGCTATTATATTTTCACTCGTGGCTACGCCACTCGTGAAAATATTGCATCTGGTGTTCACTCAGTGAAATTATATTTCAATCTTACATGCAAAACAAACAAATATCCTCTATGCATTTCCTCTACATTTTCAAAAACGAGTATAAAGTCTGTTAATCAAACAAGTTTACATAAAAAATGTTGATATCATTTGATTGCAATAAACAGTAAATACTGTTAGATACTGTTATACTGTTATATACTGTTTATTGGAATAAACAGTATATAAAGCTGCATGCCTCCAACCACAATATTAAAAGAAAATCAAACTTGAGATAAAATTTGTGCCATTTGCGCCAAAAAATCTCCCTTTGCGTTATTTAGATATAACGGTTCAATACACGGTTCACTCGGTCATATAATATGTTTGTTTGTTTCATTGTACGCCTTTTCCCAACAGTATTTTAGTCCTATAGGCGGGTAGTTTCCTAACCATCGTTCCTGGAGAGTTACACCAGTACTAGACAACCTTTCTTCGCGCTAAACTAAAAAAAAGCATCTCCCGGGGATCGAACCCACGCCAGAGAGTTTACTGGATTACAAGTTATTGACTCTAACCCCTCGACCACGGAGGCGGTATATATTGTGCATGGTGATATTGTACATAGCTATAATTTTCACTGTAACTATTTATCAGAACATGAAATAGTAAAACGTTATTCAGAAAACAATACGGTAATCGATTTATACAGTTACGGAATGAAGCATCCATGCACGTAGTGTTAAATAACGTAAATGATATTTTCCGATTTTTCTATGTACCGATTTGTTCACTTCGATGTTAATTTTTCGTTTAAGTAAAGCCGTGTTTTGAAACGGGGCATGCGCAAAACAATTTTTGTAGACTGCTCCTAATGATTTTACGCTTAAAATGAGATTCATTCACTGCAATCAGATACGCAAAAATGGATGCCGCCAGCAATCAGTCTGAACACTATGGAGAGGTCTGATGACCTCTCCAATAATCTACTTGTTGCAATAAACACTTGAGAAAATCAAAAGATACCGGTAAATGCTTGCGTACATAAATGAAACCATGCTTTTTATTTGATAGAATAAATAATACATAAAGAAAGTCATGCCTTTTCATTAATAGGAAAGAACTGTAATTGTACTAAATACCAGAACGCAACAGAAAGATAAAACGGTTCAGATAATTGACTGATAAGCAACATTTTTAAAACTATAAACATTTCTGAGGCATAATGGTCCTTTAAATTGTAGATGTAGATGTCACCATTTGATCATGTCTGTAACAATTTACGTGTCTGAGTAAGGTAGTTTTATCTTTTTTAATGGTTCAATTGGTTCATTATTTATAACACAATGTGATAATTATATAATTGTATAGAAAATATTTCATTTGATATTCAATTTTAACTTTTAGGTGAACGCTTCTTAAAATATATGTTTGTCTTGTTTTGTGAAAGAAACTACCAGTTGCAATTTAGGCTTTTTTAGATGAAGAGATCCCTGTTTATGCTTGCATTTGTCAAAAAAGCCCTGCTTTTTATTGGATAAAAATATATAGAATATCATGTCTTTTCATTTATAGGAAAGAACTGTGAGCACAACATTGATGAATGCCTTAGTGATCCATGTGGGAATGGCGGCAGGTGTATAGATAAAGTAAACTCTTTCGAGTGTCAATGTCAGTTTGGCTTTACTGGTGCACTCTGCCAAGCCCTTATAAATAATTGTGATTCCAACTATTGTCTTAACGAAGCTACTTGTTCAAGTTTAGAGACTACTTTTGAGTGTCATTGTACTGAGCAGTTCTACGGTCTGCGGTGTGAATCAGACGTAAACGAGTGTGACAAAGGTCCTGAAGTTTGTAATGACAGGGGAATGTGTGTAAATACGTTTGGAAACTATATTTGTGTGTGTATGGCGGGATACGAGGGAAAGAACTGTGAAATAGAAACGGACGAGTGTCTGATTGCGGAATCCCCGTGCCTTAATGGGGGACTTTGTATAGATTTAATTGGAAGGTATCGTTGTGATTGCTCTGGCACGGGATTTTATGGGACTAATTGTGAACACAAAATTTACAAATGCAAAACTGATCACTGTGAAAATGAAGGCTCTGTAGGACCAGCTAAATGACCTTATATGTGAATGCATAGTTAGATTTACATGATTTACGTGTGAATTTACTTTAAAAATATGAACATCATCATCAACAACAGCAATATCAACAACAAACTGCACCACCACCAACAACAACAGCAACACCATCATCATCGTCACCATCATCGAAATCACTTATACCACTGCTACCACCACTAATACCACAACCGTCAACAGCAGCAATAACATCAACAACAACTTCAGCATCTACACTTCCACACATCAGTTCTCCAAGGTATAAATTAACGTCTTCATTACCAAATGATAAATCTTTATCTTCAACTTCTATCTCTTTATCGAAAAATTCATTGTTTCAAAATATAACATTAACTACGACGCAACCTACATCCACTCATACAAATGTAAAAATACGTTTAACAAATACACCGGTAACAGGCACAGTTAGTAATACATCTACAGCACAACCTTCATTTAACAAAGCAACAAATGATCACAATTTATATGGAACCGATTTTCATATACATGTATCTTCAAATGCCACAGTAATAGGAACCACTGAATCTATAAAATCTTTGAAACTTCAAAAGCCACTGAACACTATTCAGTCAACGCTAAATCGACAGCAGGGTTTGAAACAGATTCTCAAGTAAACGTGACATTCTTGGAAACACTTTCAGGCAATTTGACAACCTACAGTACATTTACTGAAACACTGACACATTTATTGACAGTCGATGACACTTCTGGCAAAAATCTCACATCAAATGAATCAACAACAATTTCTTTTGAATATTATTCAACTACAAGTGAAGCAAATAAGAAAAGTGATGAAATAGACTTGAAATGGACAAAGCATAAAGAAAAACATTTATCCTCAGATGAAATTGAGTCGTCTTGGGAAATGTCGACTTTCAGAAAATATCATTTAGTACACATGTAGATTTTGGTGAAGCACTAAGTACAGAACAAAAATCGTAAGGCCAATACCGGTATGACTATTCCAAAAGGAACAGAAACGAAACATTTATCATCTGGGGAATATGAATCTTCTGGAGAAAAAATCTATACACAATGGGTTGGAACATAATCGTCAGTCCGTCGAGAATATGTTTGCCGATGATCCAGAGGAAGATATCCCACTGAATAAGCTTCGGTTACTTCTACATGAAAATTACCCAGATTCCTCCGTCGATGCGTAGGTGTTTCAAACGTAATCGATTCACTAAAACATTACTTAGGTTCTTTGAGTGCGAGTCTGACGTTTAATCAGATACATTCTCAAATCTTGCGAATATAGAACAACTTTTGCAAGATATGGTGAAGACAAAACAAAGATAACAACATTTTTTTAGTAAATTTTGCTTAAATTAACATGTATGGAAAATTTTTACTTTTTAAAAAGTTTTAAATTTTACTGTCAGAGAAATCATTATGTTTTATTAAAAATTCGTATTTTGTTTTAAAAAGTTTTCCTTTTACTATCACTGACGGTTTTTATTCATTAGCTTTCAGTAATACATGTTCAAGTTTAATATATTATATACATGTATACGTTGATTCGTAGATATACATGCTATAAATGCAGTAGAATAAAATTACCAGAGTTACCTGCCTTTATGATTTTAGACTTCAAAAAGAAGTCCCGACGATCTCTTTCTATCCGGAGTGCACTGTACCACATATTTCATCTGGTGAATATGATTCTTTGGACAACAAGTGTCATCTATTGAATAAGAAATCTTCTGGAGAAGAAATCGATTTGCCACATGTATCATATAGCTGGTAAATATGAATATTTGAAAACAATCGACATACAAACAAGTATCATGTGGTGAATTTAAATTGGGGAGGAAATCGTTGTGCAACATTTTTTATTTTGTGAATACGAATCTTCTGTAGAGGTAATTGACATACCACATGTATCATCTGGTGAATATGAATCTTTGGAAACGGTCGACATACAACAATTATTACTTAGTGAATAGGAATCTTCATTTGAAACAATCTATATACCACCGCCTGGTGAAAAAGAATCCTCAGTAGTATTACTACAACAAAATCAATTATTGAAAATGTTACCAGAATTACTTATTCTTCTGATAAGTTAAATGAGTTCAATAAATAATTAATGTGTTCATCTGTCAAGTACATGGTCTACAACAACCGATCGAGTTACTTAAGAAACGGAATATGCTTTGATTAATTATATTGAATACAATATTGGCAGTTCAGGAGATGGTCCTTATCCTGAATTTCGAGTAGATCACAGTTCGTCATAGTCTTACTTCAAACCGTTATTCTTCATTGGACACTAAAAACATGCTAAAAAAACAACTTGAGCTTATATTTCAGGCAGTTCTTATAATGTTCACACCACCCCTCACCGCTGTTGGTTCGAATCCCGACATAGACTTTGGATTCGTACATGTGAGTAAGCTATCCAGCTAGCTAACGGAATGTCGGTGGTTCATGCCTGAAAAAAATACATGTTTGGGCACATGAGGTCTTCCTCCACAAGTTAAGCTGGAACATCGCCATATAAACTATACTGCGTCGGTGTGACGTAAAACCCAATCAAACAAAGAGACAAATGCTCACACATAAAAATGTCATGTGTGATACTTAATAAATATAAAAACCATTAAATACTCTAATGCCTGATTTTATTATTGCTCTTGGCGGATCTCTCCTTATCAGGTTTATTGTTTAAGCAGCAGCACTATTCTGAATACCGTTTAAAGTCGGTGCTGGGGGAGGGCATATTTGATGCTGTATTTTCTTCTCACAAAATAAAACCGACTCTGCGATTTTAAACCATACTAAACCAAAAAAGAAACTTTCGCAAAGTATGTGCCAGTTATTCAAGGGTACCACTTAGATGTACACACTTATATACATGTAGTAGCTTGTAAAACTCGTTTTGTTTGCAAAATCGGTCAGCTAATCCCAGTATAAAAGCCCGATATGTTTATTCAACGTAAAAATCGATTTTCAAAAGGATTGAAAAACTGTACTAACATATCTACATTCAAATTTGGAGAAAGTTTCTTTTTTTTTTCAGTATATAATTATTTTTTTGTTCTTCTTGCTGTCCAGGTATTTCCTCTTTAAAAAATTAAATCGGTTTTCCTTATGTTAAGTAAAATAACAATATTGATGACCACTCATCGCACCAAGATAATAACAATAGTACAAACAAACAAACAAACAAACAAACAAAAACTCGTAACCGGCGAGACTTATAATTCAATGACGTTATTTAAACAATAAATAAAATCGTGTTTAGTACGTTGTAAAATAGAATTTTCGACCCAACGACACCTTTGTATTACAAATCAGTAAAAATAATAATAACAACAACAACAATAATAATCATAATAATAATAATAATAATAACAATAAACAACAACAACAATAACAACAAAACAAATACCCATGTACACTTTTATGAACATTTTGCCTCCAAATTATGGTCAGAATAGTTATTTTATAACTTGCTTCACATATATCTGTTAAGCATTTTTGAACAATTACTATTTGATTTATTTGTGTCTCCCTTACAGTGTCAATATAAAATGTTTTGTGTTTTTTATTATCATCATCATCATCATCATCATCAACACAACCCTCATCATCATCATCACCATCATCATCAAATCTACTACCTCCATCATCACCATTTTCAGCAGCCCAATCATTATCACCATTCGGTTTTATTTTTACTTTTCTCATGGCAACAAAATAAAGAATGGACATTTTTTTCATGTCACCCACTTCAAACATAGAAAACAATATATTATTCGAAGTATTAACAGTAACAATTAGTGTAAGTGTTTTTGAAGACTTCCGTTTTAGGCTAATTTAGATCAACAGTGTCAAGGGAAACAGTGGCACAGTTTTTCAAGTACAATTCTTTTCTTCGAGTCACATTGACATCACTCTAAGATATAAAGTCTACAATTTGAATGAAAATATTTTGAAGTGGTCATACACCATTCTCAGGGCACCAGTTATGAAGAGTGCAAGTACAAAAATATTATTAGGATGCTTTATATATTTATAAAATAAATATGACCGGGATTTCACTGTGCTTTTTCCTTTTATTGGCATTAAGCGTAAGTTTATGTTTTCTTAAATTTTTAAGGTAATACTTTCTTTGATACATTACTATATGCAGTAACAGTTTTCGTAGGTAGATGTGCATTTTATTTGATGATACATAGTGTTGGAAAAAAAATTAGGTAGGTAGGAAAGTAGAAATTCATTCATATGACCGTACATAGATAAATCTGTAAAATATGTAAGTAGGGAGAAATGCATTTTATATAATCGTGCATAGTGGTGAAATAAATGTAGGTAGGTAGGTGGATATGGAATTTATATGACCGGACCTAGTGATGAATTATGGATAATTTCGTAAAAAATGTAGGTAGGGAGAAATGCATTTTAGATAATTGTGTCCATAGTGGTGGGTAAGGGATGCGTTTAAAATGAATAAATAAATGGATTTTATATGAATGTACATAGTTGCTAACACAAAACAAATGTAGGTCGGTAGAATGCATTTTTATTACCGTACATAGTTTTGAATAATGGAAACTTTTGTAGAAATAAAGGTAGGGAGAAATGCATTTAATATAACCACAATAGTGGGGAATAAACGATTCTTTTGTAATAAATGTTGGTAGCCAGAAAATCATTTTAAAGGAATAGGAATGGATGGATTGATGTCTGTCTAATATAAATATTCATCATTTAAAAAGAGGAACCATGACATTTTTCCTATTGACATCAACCCTATAAGAGAGAAATTCGTGTTTTAAGACACTATTTTTTACTTGAGAAATAAGTTCATGGGCGCCGCCATTTTGGCGTTCTGTCATTCTCGCGAGACAGACGGGACCGAGATTGTGACGTGTTATACCCACTTCCGGTGTAGGTGTACACGCTGGTACAACTGAAATATATCTTGATGAAGAACTTATTAATTTTATCGCGTACATTATATATTATTTATGAAAACATCATATGGAACTGAATTGCTTTAATTAATTAATTGAAGACGCCGCGACATTAATTATTATTTCTCCGATATTCAAGCTTGCTGATAATCCAACCACATGATTTAAGCAATGGCTGCTTAATTTTCAAAGATAAACCATAAATTTAATTTGGGTACTATGAGAAACTTCTTCAAATTGACGATATATCCTTTTATTTTGTACTAAATTTTCGCTAGACAAGCTGTCCAAATAAGGTACATCGCCGGTCATGTATCTTTTTTTCAGGTAAAATATCAACTAAATCCAATATATATCTACTTACCAAATTCCTTTCCCCGACAGATACGCATTTCTACTACCGTAAATTTAATCCAATAAAACAAAAAAATCATAAATCTACTTAATATTTAAAATGATTATTGGTAACTGAAAAAAAATGTGTTGCTATTTTATGACGTGCTGTAATTTACTACAGTATAATTTGATAGGTGTGGAACCTAATTCCCCCTAAGGTCATTCAGTTCACTGATGAAGCGTAAAAAAATAGATGTCTATTTCGTCATTAGAATATTTGACAAGGGTGATTAACCAATCAGGGCAACATTGTGCATGATCAAAAGGTCTGTCGGCACAGAGGCATACAAGGAGCAATAAAAATAGTCAGTACACAGTGTGACAGGAGCATTTGGTGCAAATTAGGAACAATTAAAATGGACAATGCGCAGTATTAGACATAAGTAGTAAGAACCAGCAATTGTGTGAATAAATTATGCAAATTAGACTTTTGAGCAGCCAATAAAAATTGTTTGCCTGCAGTTAATATTAGGCTACGATTACGATGCGCAGCATCATACGTTGACAGACATGTTAACAATTTACATTTCAAAAGAGTTGCTTATATTTTTGAAATGTGTACATCAATTATAACATATGTTCACACCTTTAAATTTGAAAGTCAGAATCAAACTGCAAAAATTTAATTATATGTACTATTAACAACACGTTTTAGTTGGGTTTTTATAATGGAAGTGGCTATCGTACGGGCCCGTACGGCTAGCCAAAAGTTTTAGCCGTACGTGAGTCGCGTACGACTAGCAAGGACACGCTGTATTGGCTAGCCGTACGGCACTTTTCAAAATTTTATGGAAGTCGAAAATGCATATGTTATTTTATGATTTAAAGCGAGGATTTTAACCAAGAAACGGCATTAATTGTCTTTGGATGTTAACTTTTTAGAGATTAATCGCCTTGATCGCTATATATATCGATCTTTGTCATCGCAAGATGTCGAGAAAAAAAATAGCCTTTGCTTGCATTTACACCAATTAAATAGTTTACAAAATTTTGATAATAATCCTTTTTTGTTTCATTAATTTTAATTTTCGACACCTTTTATATGAAAAAAAAACAACAAACACTGAAAATGATTGTTGTTAGGCTCTTGATAATTGCGACAATTACCGACGGTACTGTATAGAAGTTTGTCCATCAAGGAAAGTTTGCATGATCCGTGAAAGGCATTCTAAAATTCTATTGTTTTAATTAAGGCTAATTAATTGATTGACTGTGCTTTTATGTTCGATATTTATCTACTGTTTTGAAAATTATATAATTATTTTTGCATTTCACCGTTGTTTTTTTTGTTTTGTTTTTTTTCATTCAATGTTCTTTTTATTTATTTATTCCACTCCGATCATTTTTTATTCGATCCATGTGCTTAAAATTAACAAAAATGATTTAATAATTCATACAAATAAAACAACAAATGATAAGCATGAAAATCAACAATTTTATAACGTTCGACTTCCATATAATTTTGAAAAGTGCCGTACGGCTAGACAATATACGTACAGTGCGTCCTGGCTAGTCGTTCGTGACTCACGTACGGCTAGAACTTTTGGCTAGCCGTACGTTTCTTTATTTTTTATTTATTTTTTTGTCTTGATATTTTTACGTATTTTGAACCATAAAAAATCTCCTCTACACCTCCTGTGAAAATTAAATTGTCTGGTCATTAATATTTCCTTACGATTCAACTACATAGATTTATCATGAATCTAAAGATGTGGGGAAATGACATCACGCGCACCTGTTTTTATACGGCCAATACACAAACATGGCCGCGCTTACTGATTTGTAGAAATCGGTGATTTAGCGATTTAAATTTTGTTATCATTCGTTTAATATTATTATTTGGCGGCAGAAAATTTGCAGACTTATTATTTATAGTATTCTTTTTCTGAAATCAAGTTTTTATTCTAACCTTGTCTTTCCCTTTAAATGACGGTAAATAGTGGCGAATAAGGGAAAGAATTTTTGTAATTAATAGAGAAATGTGTTTTACATAAATGTATATAGTAGTGGATAAAGGTAACATTGAAATAAATGTTGGCATGTATGTATGCATGTATGTGTTCTAGGCTTAATGGGGGTCCATAAGCCCTTTCAGACACTGAGAGTCCGGACCCCGGACATGTCACCATTCATGTCCTTAACTGTTATTATCTACTAAAAGGTGTCCTATAAATTTTGAATTCAGTAATTAACTCAATAATACTAAATATGTATGCAAGTCAATTTTTATGATGATACTATTTTAATGCACGGGAGGCCAATTAGATCATTATATGCATCATGGAGAAAATAAAGTGATATGCAGTATATATAACGGTATATACTGGTGAATAAGAACTTCCGTAAAATGTAGGTGAGAGTTAGAAATTCATTTTTATATGATCGTACATATAGGCGGATAAGACTAATTCCAGACTGTCTATTACTTTATCTTTATATTTGGTATCTGAACGTACTATAACTGTAAAAATGTATTACTTTATATCTCATAAAATTGTTTTAACATCACAGAAGATATTTAGTTATATATCACGTGTGCGTTATAAAATCAGACATTGAATGGTTAAAAGAATCCAATTATATCACTGGTTGTTCAGATCAAGGCACTTTTAAAGCAGCATACCTGCAGATTCAGGCTTTTTTTTTCATGAAACCGTTTAAAAAGTACAATATGATGAAGAAAACAAAAACAGTAATTTATATTTGTAAAATGGCTATTAAAATATGCTTAAATTACTCCAAATAGGTCAGAATATGTGAAAATAGAGACCTTACTGGCGTTAGTCACGCAAGTTCAAATATGGTGATAATACTGCAAATCAGCCCATTAAACGCATCTAACATATTGTTACTTATACTGAACGTTGAATCTTTATACTTTTCCTAAAATCTTAGTACATTTTTCTCAAGTTTGTTTGTCTTGAAATATTTTGGCTCATCTAGAAGCATGCAGTTCAAAAGTACATACAGCTGTCCAGATATTGCTGAAGGTCAAGGTAACTTTCTCGTTTTAAGCTATTGTCGTCATACGCTATTTGAGAACGAGGGAGAAATTATAGAATAATTTTGAAACAACATATTCCATTAAATCATTCATTAAAGTCGAAATTATCTAAAATGCACTTTAGAAAAAAAAAAACGATATTTTTCAACTTTGTGATAGTGATTTCTTCAAGCGTCTAGAGGTACAGCTCATTACACTTTGAAAGGGCTCTTCCAAATTAAAAATAGGGTAAATCCATCATACAAATTTAGCTAGTTAAGGGTGAAAGTACTAAAAATGTGTATACCGGACAAGGCACTTGAATTATTAAATGCTTAATACTCGCCCTTTTCTTCCACCGAAATGTACTTTAAGACGTTTAATTCATCATTTCACAGTTATGAATGAAAAATTGGAGAAACGGCGAAAAAAGCAATATTTTTCAACTTTGGGATCTTGATTTCGTCGTCTACAGGTTCTTCTCCGACAAAATAACAAGTACACACTAACAACAATCAAACAGATATTTAAAAGTTATTCGACTAAGTTTGAAAAAGAAATATACTTTCATATTATTTTAGCCTGTATTTTACAGGTAAGTATGGAAAGTGGTGTTTTGGTTGGGTTTTACGAAAATAAAGGTGATTTGTTTTAAACGCGTGTAGTCAATTGGGATGAAAATATGGATCACCACATGCGGTGCAATATAGAATCAAAGCACAGAAGGCGCTGAATTTGTTTGGGTCTCAGAATGTCAGAAAGGTGAAGGTTGTGAGATTATAAAACAATTTGTTTTTGTATAGTGCCACCAATGCTTTCCAGCGATTTAATTGTAGTAGATTGGCTATAAGACTAATTGCAACACTGATATTCGATCCAATGTTTATTTGACTTAAACAATTTGAAAAAAAAATGAGTTGTCTTAAGAAAGATTTGAATTCAAGACCTCTCGTTTCCTAAGCGAGCGCGCAAACCGTTCGGCCACGGTAGATTTACATGTTAATGGCCTGAAGAAAACCATATTATTCTAGTTGGATTTAACTCAATACAGGATTGGAGCAGTACCTCTAGACGCTTGCAGAAATCATGATAACAAAATAGACAAATATAGTTTTTTTCGCCGATTTTTACATTTTTCATTGATTATCATACTTAAATCGGTGTGAAAAGATGAATTAGACATATTAAAGTTCATTCCGTTGGGTAAAAAGACAATATTTTAGCATTTTATGATTCAAGCGCCTTGCCCGGTATATACCGGAATACGGTATTTAGTGTGGTGCTCCAATCCTTTTTGGCTTGCAGCCACGGCTGCAAGCCCATTTGTTTTGGAAAAAGTTGTTCCGGTTAGGTGGTTTCCTGCTTACATTTGTTGGTGCATGATTGAATGGGAAACCAGCTGCAATCATGCCAATCGCAACTTTTCGGCCCTTTCCGTCACACTTCGGATTGATTATAATAGCCGAGGTTGTTCCGATTGCAATCGTGATAATTCGGGCGATTCCGTCATACTGCGTATTCAGACGAAGTAATATTACGGAAATCTAAGCTATTTTAGTTACTTTGGTAATCCCAGTTTGTTTATATAAATAGGATTTCTATTTTTACTTGATTCCGTTTAAATTCTTTTTCAAGACGCAAAAGTTAGTTTCTTTTATAATTGGTTTTTGTCTTTATTAGTGTTATACAATAGAGAATGGTTACTGTAGTAGTATTCCGTCTCCAAAGGGCGGTCCTGCTTACCAAAAGATCGTGACCGAATCAACGCAGAATATTAGTGCATGATCAAGTTATATTTAGATCTACTGACATAGTTAAAACGTTCTTGGTGAGGTAATCTAAAAATAGCCCATGCATATCATTAACCTTACCACGTGCTGATCTCCTGTGTTGTCGATCATAGATATTTTAGGTGTAACATAGTTGATACATGCTTATTAATTGGTACCCACCACGTACGAAGTCTTTTAGTGCATTCACTTGTCTCTAAAGCTGCTATAGAAATGAAAATTAGCAACTGCCAAAACGAATGACTCTCTCTGCGAAAAAAGTGGAAAATGAAGTGTGCAGTTTCCCTTCAGTACGATAGATTGATCTCCACGTGAGAGCCAATGATAGTATTTTACGATTGCTTATTTTCTTTATTAATAGTTTTATACAATAGAGAAGAGATTTCGAATAGTTTTTGACAAAAAATATTCGTTTTTACAAAAAAAGTTGCTACTGTCATCGTCAGCGTGTTCCGTTCAGTTATAATCAGTGGACTTCTGGTCCCTATTTTGGTCCAAATTTGCACGCATAACACTGGTGCTCAAACAAATGGGCACAGGTTCTCGTCCAATCTTGGGCTTACCCTACCTATCCCTTTAAAAGTGAAACTTTTTTTTCGAGAAAAAACTATATAAACCCTTTATGATATACAAATACCCTAATTAATTAAATAATTGTGAGAATAAATTGAAACAAAAAAACCCCACAATTTTAAAGGGAAGGGACGATGACACAACTGAGCAAGCCTTTCCTTTTAAAAGGAAACTTTATTTTAGTCTCACTCATTCTAGTTAGGGTTTGTAACGACGCTAACTGTTGTTAAACACTTGTGTAAATAATCATGGCGCTTACTATAAGCATGTATATCTATAAAGAATAAAACAATATTATAAATCTTCGACCATTCGGGAATTATTTTGCTTGAAAATTAATCCGCCTGTCATGTGACCATATTTACGCAGTGATCTCCCCTAAATTTTTCGGCCTATATGTTACATATAAAGGGAAGGAACCGCTTCAAAAAAGCGGACTACTTTCGGCACTTGCAATTAACAGCATTAGAGTCTGAAATTTCGCTACCATTATTTGTTTGGTCTGACGACCCAAACAAATAAAAAAATTGTAAATAAGGACCAAATATAAGCATTAGAAAAATTAAAGAACTGACAATTACAATTCATGTACACGATACTTACAAAATTTCCAACTCAAATAAGGACTGTTCAGTTCTGCTACGTCAAACAAGGGATTCCATTCATCATACTAGCCCTCGTTTCTATTTCATTTACGTGTATGTTAAATTTCGTAAACTAATTTTTTACGAAATATACTCCTTCCTGAACAATAGAGAAAATGATTATTTCTGATTTTTTAGGAAAATATTCCAGATTTTATTTACCCTGTAGGAGCCTACAAATCATTTCGAGCTTCGAACATGAAGATCGTATAAGTATTCCGGTTCATTAAATAATTAAAGCGGATGGCGTACCTTAGGTCTTTATGTCATCCATTTTTATCATATGGTATTAAATTCTCCATTCTGGTTGGCTTGAGACAGACGGGAGAAGGTAAGAAATGGTCAAATGTTAATTTTGAATGCCGCCGTCCGTGGACATCGACAATCATAAACTATAAGATAACATACATGCATTTACAAGTCATATACTGTTGAAATATTATCATATTTTAGACAATAAGAGATGTTCATTGCCTTGGATATATAGAGACAAACTTCAAGGAATTTGTTAACTTCGAGGGAAAACGTTTCGATGGGAAGTGTTGTGACAAGTCAGGATTTTGGAGCTGGGGTGGTAACAAAGATAAATGCACGGATGAGTGTGACCATACTTTCATCATCTGTTTGGGAAATGCCACGCAGTAAGTTATAACAGATTAGAGCCGCGTTACGACAAAACCAACATAATGGGTTTGCGACCAGCATGGATCCAGACCAGCCTGCGCATCCGCGCAGTCTGATCAGGATCTATGCTGTTCGCTTACAAACCCTATAGCAAGTAGAGAAACTGATAGCGAACAGCATGGATCCTGATCAGATTGCGCGGATGCGCAGGCTGGTCTGGATCCATGCTGGTCGCAAACCAGTTATGTTGCTTTTGTCGTGACACGGCTCATTAATGTATATGTATAAATAATATTTGCCGTAGTGGAATATGTTAAATAAATCATATCTCACCGAGAAAAGTGAAAATATCAAATAGACCAAAGAGCGTGTATAAGGAGTGAAATATAAAACAATTTACTTTGAAATAAGATTCATACCATATTTTATGTTCCCATTATTAAAAAAATGGAGACAGTGGTTATCTGATGATTATCCCTGTCCGTTCATGCGTACGAGCGTATAAGTTTGTGATGTAAATATGAATTTGATCACCGCAAACGACTACCACATTGATTATTTAACATTATTAACGTTGATTCTTCTTATAACTGCTCATTAATACATATATATTATGTTACAATGACATTTACAATATTGTTTAGTAAACGACTATTGTATTTTGGAATCTTATCAAAGTGTTTCTATAAATAAACATGTACTTGTAAAAAAAGTGTTATCCAGCTATGAATGTTGAGCTATGAATTTTTCTATATATATCTTATGTGTTACGGTTCTAACCAAAGTACATGTTTGTTCTGTTCAATGGTCATAATTCTTTACCATTTATGTCAAGGTTTTATATAATCTTCGTTTTAATACATGCATATAATCGTTTTTGATATTTCGGCTCTAACCAATTACATTGAATGGAGACATAAACATCCCTCCCCTCCCTGTCTGTCCACATGGAGTATATTTAAGCTGACGTGACATGGCTCTATCACACCTTGTGATTTCTTTTTCCATCACACCTCATGGTATTTTTTATCATAATAATAACTATAAGTACCATCAGTCAAAGTCCGCGCGAAAATGAGGTTGTCAACCCAAGTATGTTACTTAAGTTTGTTCGCAGACAGGACTGTACGATACAAAACAGATAAAGAAATGAGATTACACAAGGCATTTGAATAGGTCCTTAAAACGAATAAGTTATTCTTTCTGTTTCTATTTATATATTGTACAAGTATGGATAGAGATATCAACTCCAATTTACATTAAAAACAACAACAGCAACACACACACACACGCATGTTAGCAACAACAACAACAAAAGAAACGACATTTCAACTTTAGATTCTTCATCAGGTTTATATTCTAAACAAACTAAGAAAAATTCTTCTCTTGCTTTTAGATCAAGCAGCATGTCCGAGTGTGAATATGGTCAGCAAGAAATTGATCAGGTCGGGGGCAATAAAATCACGTTTAATGGCAACGTGGGAGCTGCAAGTAATCCAATTAAGTTTCAATTTGGAACATGGCCGGTAGGTATAAGCATAGGTTTATATTTTTTGGTTGAGTTTATTATGACGCACCAACGCATTACAAGTCACAACTTTCCAATTTACTGGTGGTAGAAAACTCCTGTTGACCCTCCGCGAATTAAGCTCGGGTTATTGTAGGTTTCATGATAATCGCCTTATGAAAACATGTGCGGGTGTACCATTTTTTAAACCATCAATTCATGTTTAATGTTGAATTCTGCTTAAGCCGGTGCTAGGGGGCGTGTACGGTAACTTGCATTTACCAGTACCGACCATCTCAATCAATTAAACCGAGCAACATTTTCAGTTTTGTCGTTTTGTGCGTTCTTAAGGGATTCCGTTTTCTCTTTATTTATAAGGAATTTTGCTGTATGAAATTTAGTTAAGACATTTGATATGTTTTTAAAAAAGTCTCAGCGCTACCCATTGCATGTGTGTTATTGCATTGTATATCGTACGCAGTGTTATATATAAAATAACACTAAAAATGGTTATTAGAAACATTAAGATCTATCTAGAAATTTTTTTAAAACAAAACATATCACACAATTCAATGCATGCAGATTATTCTTGCTTGTAACTATACATTTCATATCTTAGTGAAAGTTTATATTAACTAGCCAACTAAATGGATCCCTAAAAGCTTATAACAATTCTTTATGATACATACAACATAATAACAATGATACCATTTAATCCAGGGCGTTGTCAAGGTAAAAATTGACGTTCATGATACAGACGGTGACGACGAGTATGACTTCATTGATCATTATGAATACCAGTACAACACCCGGGACCTTCGGAGAGAAATTGACGCCCCGCAGGAATCACTCGTGCTAACAGGTTCTCGGACAAGGTTAGTATTTCCGCTACATAATTATGCTATAACAGGGACACGTTCACGACTAGTGTTAACTGGTACTCGGGTAAGGTTTGTATGATGGCTGATTTGGTACACTTGCGCGTTGCGTTGCCGATAGCGACAACACAACCTATATCGTTATTGCCTTTTCGTCTTGTCGCTAGCGACAGCACGACAAAACGTCAAACGGCGCATTGTCGTCTTGTCTTTCTGTCGCTTGCGAAGCACGTCAAACGGCGCGTTGTCGTGCGGCGTGTTATCGCGATGTCGCCCTGTCGCTTGGCTTATATAAATCGACAACACGCCGCATGACAACGCGCCGTTAGGCGTGCATCGTTAGCGACAGGACGACAAGACGACAGTGCGACAAGGCGCCGTTTGGCGTTTTTTCTTACTGCCGCTAGCTACAACACGACGCACAAAAGTGTTCCAAATCTGCCACCATAGGTTTGTGCATGTATTATGCATATTCGCGACTAGTGCTAAAAGGTACTCTCACAAGGTTAGCATTTCCTTTACTCGCGTCAAAAAGTTCTCGGACAATGATTGTATTTCCTTTACTCATCTAACAAGAACTCGAACAAGGTAAGTATTTCAACTACTTGCCCTTACAGGTTCTCGGACAATGTAAGTATTTCCGCTACTCGAGCTAATTGTTCCCGGACAAGGTTAGTATTTCCACTACTCGTTTCTAACAGATACTCGGACAAGGTTAAAATATCCATTACCCGTGCTAACATGTTCTCGAACAAGGTTAGTATTTCCAGTACTCCAGTCAACAGATTCTCGGACAAGTTTATTAGTTTCACTACTCGTGAAAACAAATGCTTGTACAAGGTTAATATTTTTACTTCTGTTCGGAAAAGGTTAGTATGTTCCTCGTGCTTGCAGGTTCTCGGACAAGATTAGTATTTCCGCTACTCGTCCTTACAGGTTCTCGGTTGATATATATTACCTTAAACATAAAACAAATGTTTTGTGTTGAATTAGTGAACAATTCTAACTGTTCGTTCTTCAATTATTCAGATTTGACATGGAACTAAAAGTTTACTGTGAACTTAACTTCTACGGTCCGGAATGTGGAATATATTGCAAGGAAACAGACGACGAGACCGGTCATTACAAGTGTGATCCTTCCACAGGAGCTAAAATATGTAAACAAGGTAACATTGTTATATTTCATGTTCACTTGTTTAATCATCCAACATCATTTCAGACACATTACACAATTAAATAGTATGGACCTGTTGTGTTTTGTCAGTTACTAAGTATTTGTTTGATAGATCCTTAACCCATTGCCAGATATACACGCTTTTTCACGCCTTTTTCAGCCGCCCTTTTGGGGTCACAAATGGTGAAAAATGCCTTATTTAGATCCCCAGCACTTGTTTTTGTTTGAAAAATGTTTTTAAAATATTGAGCACTTTTTCGGCACGCCCCCTATCCAAAAGATACACCAGGAGTTGCCAGAAGGGGGATGTTCCCCCGGTCTGTTTGGGGGATTGAAGGATGGCGGAAGGCCCCCTCATCGCCAAGATATTTTGGACTTGTGAGAGGCTTAAAATGACCCTAGATCGATCATAAGGTAACGTGTAACGTAACCAACGCTGAAAAGCCTTTGACTCTATCTCAATCCATTGAGAGATTGCAGCACTTTGAAATCAATTTTGATGGAAAAAATTAACGTAAAAAGTGATTTTTGGCAATTTTGAGATGTCCCCACGTTGCCCTGGTAACTTGAAATTTAAGATACAAAGGCAATGGTCGCCAAGTTTGATTAGTATTGAGGCAGTTTTTATAGTTTTATAGCAATTTGAACTTGTAACTGGAGACTTTTCAATGAAAACAGCCATTTTCCACAAAATGCTCATGCAGTAATGGGTTAAGTGACCCATTCAAAACATGCTTTTTGTGTTAATTCGTATTCATACTCTGCACATATAAATAAACAAACGATAAAAGAAGCAAATGGTTGAATTCAGGGAGTAGTTTGTCCAGGAAATAATGTAAATATATATTGACAGGTTGGAGAGGTGATGACTGCCTGACAAATATTGACGATTGTGTCGGAAACCGTTGTTACTATGGTGCCACCTGCATTGACGGTGTCAACTTTTATAGCTGCCTGTGTCCACAAGGCCGAACAGGTACGTCTTTGTTACATGATTGCTTATTTTATGCACGTCGTTTCAAGACTACTAGCGTAAATGCATCTAGACAGTAAACTATGCCGATTGGTAGATGAATGATTTATAAACTAATAAAAAAAAATGTGAACAATGCTTTCAATCTGGGCTGAACCTTCCCTCATTTTTAGGGAAAATTTGGAAATAAATAGTTAACAGTTCAGAACATGATCGCCTGGTCTACATCTGATTCAGTTGCTGCAAACAGGAAGCAGAGTCTGTTTGTCAAAGAGTCTTTCTGTCTCGTGTTTTTTTTTCAATTTTGAATATACAAACATAGATAGTATGCTGAATAAACTTTAAAACTTTGGTTCTAAAGACCGCCTCCGTGGTCAAGGGGTTAGAGTCGATGACTTCTAATCCAGTTACCTCTCTGGCGTGGGTTCGATCCCCGGGAGATGATTTGTTAGTTTAGCATGGAGGAAGGTAGTCTAGTACTGGTGTAACTCTCCAGGAACGATGGTTAGGAAACTACCCACCTATATGACTGAAATACTGTTGGCTAAAGGAGTAAAATGAAACAAACAAACAAACAACCAATTGGTTCTAAACTTTAAACTGATACTGAGCATTCACATTCTTTTAAATTCAAAAATAAATAAAATTATGTTCAAACGAAAAAATAGTTTGGATAATTAACCTACCTACTTTACTGCCTACCTACTTACCTACCTACCCTACTCTTACTGGCATATGTCGCGGGAGGCTGAAAAAAAGTTTTATAAGGAATGTCTACCACATTACATTCTGAAGGCTACTGAATATCTCGGAAAATAGGCAAATTGAATAGGTTGGTTGCTTATCGTTATTGATTGGTTTGTGGTTTACAGGGTTTACCTGTGAGGCTGAAATAAACGAATGTGCAAGCGGTCCATGTCAAAATGGCGGGAAATGTTTGGATGCGTCCAACAGTTTCATCTGTACATGTGCCCGCGGGTTTGCCGGATTATTGTGTGAAGTTGAAATAGACGAATGTAGATCGAGTCCATGCTTAAACGGGGTAAACTATAGTTTATAACTGAACTATTCTACTTTTCATTAAATATTTTTTTTAATTTTTAAAAAAGAAAATGAAATTGCTAATTTTTCCATTTTGTGTTGTACATATTTGTCAATTTGAAAATAATTTCCAAGATACAAAAGGCTGTAAGGCACTTAATTAATTCAGTTAAGTACTGACGATAAGAGATGATTAATTATATTTATTTATTTATTTATTTTTTAAAGTCTCATCTATACATTTATACATATATATAAAACTAGAAAAAACAAACATAAAATACATGAATAGCCATTCTAAAAAGAACTACAGGAGACAATTTACTTCTAAGGGGAGCAACTCCAACCCATATTACAGCAATTTACTGTTTTATACACTGAAGAATTGTCTCCCTTAGCTACACGTTGAATTGCTAACATTATACATGTATAAAGAGGGTGAGAGAACGAAATTTTTGCCCGAGTCAGGTGAAATCATTATTTTGTCAAGGTTGAACATTTAAGTTTTATAGCAAGGTTATATATTAAATAATATTCGTTCAAAAACCATTACATAAGAGATAACTTAATTATTTCTTTTCATATAAAGCAAATAACGGTGAAACATATTTTTCTCAGTTTATTCACTAACTCAAGAATTAATTCAGACGAATGACGTACAAGTATATCAATTTCAGGGAGTTTGTATTGATCAGATAGGGGATTATATGTGTGTATGTCAGGACGGGTTTTCTGGGGAGCGATGTGAGGTGGACCTAGATGAATGTTTATCAAACCCATGTGTAAGTGCTGACAGGTGCATAGACTTACCTGGAAATTATATGTGTGAATGTTTCCCAGGTTTCATAGGTAATATTAAAGTTCATAGATATCATATTATCAATGGAACATTATGTCTCAGAAATATTTAAGCCGCGTCACGACAAAACCAACATAATGGGTTTGCGACCAGCATGGATCCAGATCCGCCTGCGCATCCGCGCAGTCTGATCAGGATCCATGCTGTTCACCTACCAACCCTATAACAAGTAGAGAAACTGAAAGCGAACAGCATGGATCCTGATCAGACTGCGCGGATGCGCAGGCTGGTCTGGATCCATGCTGGTCGCAAACCCATTATGTTGGTTTTGTCGTGACGCGGCTTATTTAATTTTTACCTCCAGTAGAAAGGGCAAACATGAATAGTATACCGTTTAAATAACACTTAAAGCATTTTAGATGCTGGTTTCCCGGCAAGAGAAGCTCTAATTATGAAATTATTTGCCATAATAGAAGCAAAATGTAAGCAAAGTAATATTTCGACATCCAAACGAAATACTAAATCACAATAATTGTACTAAATACCAGAACGCAACAGAAGAAACAGATGGTTCAGATAATTGGCAACTTTTTTTTAAAAACTATAAACATTTCTGAGGCATAATGGTCCTTTAAATTGTTGTATTGTAGATGTCATCATTTCATCATGACTGTAACAATTTACTTGTATGAGTAAATTAGTTTTAACCTTTTTAATGGTTCAATTGGTACATTATAAAACAATATGATAATTATATAATTGTATAGAAATAATTTCATTTGATATTCAATGTTAACTAGGTGATTGCTTCTCAAAACATATGCTTGTCTTGTTTTGTAAAAGAAACTACCAGTTGCAATATAGACTTCTTTAGATAAAGAGATTCCGGTTAATGCTTGCATTTGTCAAAGAAACCATGCTTTTTATGGGATAAAAATATAAAGAAAGTCATGCCTTTTCATTAATAGGAAAGAACTGTGAGCACAACATTGACGAATGTCTTAGTGATCCATGTGGAAATGGCGGCAGGTGTATAGATAAAGTAAACTCTTTCGAGTGTCAATGTCAGTATGGCTATACTGGTGAACTCTGCGAAGCCCGAATAGATTATTGTGATCCCAACTATTGTCTTAACGGAGCTACATGTTCAAGTTTAGAGACTACTTTTGAGTGTCATTGTACTGAGCAGTTCTACGGTCTGTGGTGTGAATCAGATATAAACGAGTGTAACAACGGTTCTGAAGTTTGTAATGCCAGGGGATTGTGTGTAAATACGTTTGGAAACTATCTATGTGCGTGTATGGCCGGCTACGAGGGAAGGAACTGTGAAATAGAAACGGACGAGTGTCTGATGACGGAATCCCCGTGCCTTAATGGGGGACTTTGTATAGATTTGATTGGACGGTATCGTTGTGATTGTTCCGGCACAGGGTTTCATGGAACTAAGTGTGAACAGGAAATTGACGAATGCGAAAGTGATCCTTGTGAAAATGGAGGTTCGTGTAAAGACCGGCTAAACGACTTTACATGTGAATGCCCAGACGGATTTATAGGATTTAAGTGTGAAATTACATTAACAACAATAACAACATCATCATCAACAACATCATCATCTACAACAACAGTAGCAACCACAACAACAACATCATCACCACCACCAACACCAATAACAACAATGACACCAGCAACAACATCACCATCATCATCATCGTCACTAATACCACCACCACCACCAACAACACCACCACCACCATCATCATCAACAACAACAACAGCAGCAGCAACAACAACAACAACAACAACAACAAAACCACCACCAAGAACAACAACACCATCATCACCACCAACACCACCAACACCAACGACGACCACAACAACAACAGCAGCAGCAACAACAACAACAACAATACAACCAGCACCAACAACAACAACACCATCGTCACCATCATCATCATCACTAATACCACCACCACCACTAATACCACCACCACCACCAACAGTAATAACATCAACAACTTCAACATCTTCACTTCAAAACATCAGTTCTCCAAGGTATGAATTGACGTCTTCATTACCAAATAATGAATCTTCATCTTCAACTTTTATCTCTTTATCTACAAAATCGTTGTCTCAAAATGTAACATTAACTACGACGCAACCATCATCCACTCATGCACTCGTAACATTACTTTCAACAAATACAACAGAATCAGGCACAGAAATGAATGCATCTACATTAATACCTTCTTTTAACAATGTAACAGATGAGGACAATTTAAATGCAAGCGGCTTTCATATACCTTCAATTGGCACAGCTTTAGGAACCACTGAATCTATAAAACTTGATAAAACAGAACATGAACAATACATTGGCACAGCTACCACACCAACGGAATCTTTTGAATTTTCACAATCCACTGAAGGCTATTCTGTCAACTCAACATCGACATATGTTTACGATAATATTTCCATTACTGCAGGGGTTGAAACAGATTCTCAAGTGAACATGACAGCCTTGGAAACAGTTTCAGACAGGATGACAACTTACAGTTCATTTACGGAAACACTGACACATTTATTGACCGTCGATGACACTGCTGGCATAAACCTCACATCAAATCAATCAACATCAATTTCTTTTGAACATTATTTCACTACAAGTGGGGCAAATAAGAAAAGAGATGAAACTGATTTGCAATGGGAAAAGCATAAAGAAAAACATTTATCCTCAGATGTAATTGAGTCGTCTGGGGAAATTTTTGACGTACAGAACGTATCATCTAGTACTCATTATTTTGGAGAAGCAATTAGTTCAGAACAAGAATCATTAGGTCAATACAATGACTATTCTGGAGAAGAAACAGAAACGAAAAATATTTCATCTGTTGAATATGAATCATCTGGAGAAGAAATCGTTATACACCATTTATCATCTAGTGAATATGAATCATCTGGTGAAGAAATCGATATACCACATTTATCATCTAGTGAATATGAATCTTCTAGTGAAGAAATCGATATACCACATTTATCATCTAGTGAATATGAATCTTCTAGTGAAGAAATCGATATACTGCATTTATCATCTAGTGCACATGAATCTTCAGGAGAGGAAATTGATATACCATATTCATCATCTGGAGAAAATGAGTCTTTGGAAACAATCGACATAAAACAAGTATCATCTAGTGCACATGAATCTTCAGGAGAGGAAATTGATATACCATATTCATCATCTGGAGAAAATGAATCTTTGGAAACAATCGACATAAAACAAGTATCATCTAGTGAATATGAATCTTCAGGAGAGGAAATTGATATACCACATTTATCATCTAGAGAATATGAATCTTTAGAAACAATCGAAATACCACAAGTATCATCTAGTGAATATGAATCTTCTGGAGAGGAAGGTGATGTGCAACATGTTTCATCAGGTGAATATGAATCATTGGAAACAATCGACATACAACGAGTATCATCTAGTGAATATGAATCTTCAGGAGAAGAAATTGATATACCATATTTATCATCTAGTGAATATGAATCTTCTGGTGAAGAAATCGATATACTGCATTTATCATCTAGTGAATATGAATCTTCAGGAGAGGAAATTGATATACCATATTCATCATCTGGAGAAAATGAATCTTTGGAAACAATCGACATAAAACAAGTATTATCTAGTAAATATGAATCTTCTGGTGAAGAAATCGATATACTGCATTTATCATCTGGAGAAAATGAGTCTTTGGAAACAATCGACATAAAACAAGTATTATCCAGTGAAAATAAATCTTCAGGAGAGGAAATTGATATACCATATTTATCATCTAGAGAAAATGAATCTTTGGAAATAATCGACATAAAACAAGTATTATTTAGTGAATATGAATCTTCAGGAGAGGAAATTGATATACCATATTTATCATCTGGAGAAAATGAATCTTTGGAAACAATCGACATAAAACAAGTATCATCTAGTGAATATGAATCATCTGGTGAAGAAATCGATATACCATATATATCATCTGGGAAATATGAATCTTCTGGTGAAGAAATAGATATACTGCATTTATCATCTAGTGAATATGAAACCTCAGGAGAGGAAATTAATATAGCACATATATCATCTGGTGAATATGAATCTTTGGAAACAATCGACATAAAACAAGTAACATCTAGTGAATATGAATCTTCAGGAGCAGAAATTGATATACTACATTTATCATCTGGAGAAAATGAATCTTTGGAAACAATCGACATAAAACAAGTAACATCTAGTGAATATGAATCTTCAGGAGCAGAAATTGATATACTACATTTATCATCTGGAGAAAATGAATCTTTGAAAACAATCGACATAAAACAAGAATCATCTAGTGAATATGAATCTTCAGGAGCAGAGATTGATTTACTACATTTATCATCTAGAGAAAATGAGTCTTTGGAAACAATCGACATAAAACAAGTATCATCAAGTGAATATGAATCTTCAGGGAAGGAAATTGATATACCATATTTATCATCTGGAAAAAATGAGTCTTTGGAAACAATCGACATAAAACAAGTATCATCTAGTGAATATGAATCTTCAGGAGAAGAAATTGATATACTACATTTATCATCTGGAGAAAATGAATCTTTGGAAACAATCGACATAAAACAAGTATCATCTAGTGAATATGAATCTTCAGGAGAGGAAATTGATATACCACATTTTTCATTTAGAGAAAATAAATCTTTAGAAACAATCGACATAAAACAAGTATCATCTAGTGAATATGAATCTTCTGGAGAAGAAATTGATATACTACATTTATCATCTAGTGAATATGAATCATCTGGTGAAGAAATTGATATACCACATTTATCATCTGGTGAATATGAATCTTCTGGTGAAGAAATCGATATTCTGCATTTATCATCTAGTGAATATGAATCTTCTGGTGAAGAAATCGATAACCCACATTTATCATCTGGAGGAAATGAATCTTTGGAAACAATCGACATAAAACAAGTATTATTTAGTGAATATGAATCTTCAGGAGAGGAAATTGACAATGTCACATTGAAAGAAGAAAGAACAGAAACCATTCCTTTGATTTATGATGGAAGCGAACTGTACGATGGCAGTGGTGAGACAATTCTTTATGAACGTTCTACTAGTACTGCAACGATATCAAAGACCGAAAATGTTACTAGAATGAATTATTCTTCGAATAAGTTAAATGAGTTCAATAATGAAAGTGTTAATCAATCAATAACATGGTCTACAACGACCGATCGAGTTACTAAAGACACCGAATATGCTTTTATTAATTATACTGAATATAATATTGACAGTTCAGGAGATGGTCCTTATCCAGAATTTCTTCCGGAGAAGTCAGTGAGTGTTCAACAAACGGATTTAATAGATTTCAAAATCAATGAAACGAAAATCGAATCTGAGACTCATGATGATGAAATCAATACCACTTGGGTAAATATGACTTTTGCTAATAATAAGTCCGACATAATTAATCTCTATACAAAGACTTATGCTATCCATAATACTTCTGTATTGAAAGAAGCTGACCTGGATCTTAAAGATAGGACAATCACTCAATATCCGACTTTCGAAATGGTTGTAACAGAAAATGTTACTAGTGCATTTTACACTTCACCAATTCGCAGAGTAAATGAAAGTGTTTCATGGACTACAAGAATGCTTCCAAATGTACAAACAAAAGGAACATTAGTTTTAAAAGACATTACATTGTCTAATAATTCTGTTACTGATTCAACAAAAAATAACACACATTTTATTAGCTCTACAGTAGTCACTAAACCAATTTTGATAACTAGAAATTCAACTAAAATACCTGATCATGATATAAATCCATGGTTAGCGGCTCGTAAGCACATAAATGTCCCTTCCAAAAAAGTCACTAGAAAACCAAAGAAAAACAATTATCAGCCATTTAATCCATGGTTAGCGGCCCATAGACATCTTAGAAAGTTTAAATCAACGCAAAAGTGGAGAACAAAAAAGATATCTGCCAAACCACCAACAGTTGACTTGAAGAAAACTACATTGAACACATTAATAAGAAGCACAGGTACACCAGTTCCTACGACTGTCAGCAAAGACATAATTGATACAGGTACCCGACTAGTAACGAAATTTGTCACAAACCAAGAAGATAGCGTTAATACAAGGGAGTACCAAATGACGACTGAAAGTACTCAAATGTTTTTCAGAAAGAATGTCTCTTTTATATCGGGTGATAGTCACTCAACTTCAGTATACACAACAGAAAATGATTCATATATAGGAACGGAAATAGACCAGTCATATACAACAGAACCTACCGAGTTGAATTCTACCAATGTATCAAAAGCTGGTAAAAACAGTACAGAAGAAGGTTTTGAAACTGTGTCTTTTAATTCGCTATATGAAAAATCCTTCGTGTCGACCATGAGCAAGTTCTGCGGAGTATTTTGTTTCAACTATTTTGAAAAACCATATGCATCAAGCAGCCCACTTTCGAATATAGTATAAACACATCCTTATTGAGTACCGGTCAAAGTTCGAAGAAATGAACCAAACATCTACACCTGCTAATAGCAGTCCAGAAGTAAAATCAAATTAATCGTCACTTACAGACTAACAATGTTTCAGAAACTTACATCAAGTATTTTCACTAATCAATTGACAAGTTCTAAGAAGTACAAACACCATTCTTTAATTGACACACCGGACTGCGTTCAGTGAGTAACAGCCATTATGCATTACTTACAGTGACAGTTCAGACTACAAATCCAACCATCCCACTGTCAATCAACTAGTTTCAGTAAGTAGCAATTCTATTATCTTCATTGAATGTAACAAGCTCTAAAGAAGATGCGTCAATGTCACTGACTCTAAAAGGTTCAGAAGTATATTCTGCATCGTCCTTATGGACATCCACAAGTTCAGAGGTACATCAGTCATCGTCACTGGCAGTAGAAAGTTCAGAACCACACCTATCATCTTCACTGCGAATGACAAGTTCAGAAACACACCAACTATCTTCATTGAAAGTAGAAAGTTCAGAACAACACCAATCAGCTACACTGCGGATGTCAAGTTTAGAAATACACCCCTTAATTTCACCACCACTGTCAAGTTTAGAAGTTTATACATCATCTCCACTTACAGTGACAAGTCCAGAATTACAGCAAACATCTACACTGTCAATTTCTAGTTCAGAAGTACATATCTTATCTTCATTGAAAGTAATAAGCTCAAAAGAAGATACCTCAATGTCACCGACTTTAAAAGGTTCAGAAGTATATTCTTCATCGTCCTTATGGACATCCACAAGATCAGAGGTACATCTGTCATCGTCACTGGCAGTAGAAAGTTCAGAAACCACACCTATCATTCTTCAAACCTGCGAATGCAAGATTCAGAAACCACACCAACTATTCTTTCAGTTGAAAAGTAGAAAAGTTCAAGACCTCACACCGAATCATGCTACACTGGCGGATGTTCAAGTTTTGAAAATATATCCTTAATTTCACCACCAATGTCCAAAGTTTTAAGAAGTATAATACATCCGGAGTCTCCAACTTACAGTGACAAGTCCAGAATTACATGCAAACATCTAGCAATGTCAATGAACTAGTTTCAAGAAGAGCTATCTTCATTGAGAGTAACAAGCTCAGGAGAAGATACCTCATCGTCATTGACTGTAAAAGGTTCAGAAATATATACTTTATCAACAAGTTCAGAAGTACATCTGTTATCGGCACTGACAGAAGAAAGTTCAGAACTACATCCATCTTATACACTACGAATGACAAGTTCAGAAATACATCCCTTAATTTCACCACCACTTTCAAGTTTAGAAGTATATACATCATCATCACTGTCAGTAACAAGTTCAAAAATATATTCAACACCCACACTGTCAATAACTAGTTCAGAAGTACATCAACTATCTTCACTGACAATAGAAAGTTCAGAACCACACCCATCATCTACACTGCGGATGTCAGGTGTAGAAATCCATCCCTTAATTTCACTGCCATCTTCAAGCTTAGAATTATATACACCATCATCACTGACAGTAACAAGTTCAGAACTACATCCAACATCTTCACTATCAATAACTAGTTCAGAAGTACGTCAATCACCTCCACTAAAACTCATAAGTTCGGAGATACATTTAAAATCTTCATTGCCATCGACAAATCCGGAAATACATTTATCATCTTTATTTTCACTGCAAAGTAGGGAACCAGTTCAACACATGCCTTTGCCTCTTACAAAGTTGGAAATACTTCAACCATCCACATCAGAACTACTATCTTTAACATCAACTGTATTGAATGTAACAGAGATGGGGGAAAGATTAATGCCAACCTCTATATCATGGTCACCAACGTCACCTTCATCATCGTCGCCAACATCCTCATCATCTTATGCATCATTAGCGCGTCCTTCGTCATCATCATCATCATCGCCATCTTCGCCACAGTCGTCCTCGCACACACAATCTTCATCACCGTCATCAATCGAGTATTTCACACCGTCATCTCCATCGGCAACAAACTCTTCACATTCATCGGAAACCAAATATTACACTTTAGACCCAATAACAGAAATGTTTAACACAGATGAGTGGCCAGATTGGTTTAAGTCATTTGTAGAAAGTTCTACATCATTCATGACATCTGTATTTTCAGAAACATCTCCGGAAATAACGACAGACAGAACACAATATGACACTTCTTCTGCACAGAAAACCACAAAAGATGTAAACATATCATCCTCGCTTGAATTTTTCCAAAATGAAACGTTTTCAACACTGTCAACGAGCGCTTCCAAAACGGACATTACAGAAGAATCTCTGCATAATATTACTACAGCATCAGTAAGTACAACATTTACTCCTTCTGCATTATCAGAAACTGCGCTGACATCAACTAAACTTTCTACAACAATAGTAAGTAAATTATTCTCTTCAGTAAATACGACATCAACATCTGAGTCAGAAATTACAGAGCATGCCGTTAATAAAAGTCTTGCTATAGATGAAAGTACTGCCTCGACAGATAATATCAATGCTGATGTATCAAAGAATTATTCAACCCACGAAATTCATTCAACAACAGGCACACCGTTATCGATAACTCCTGAAACAACTTCCCCAATTGTTAAAGATACTCGGCACACAACGGAAACAACTCATATATCAAAGGAAACGCTATCAGTTTCCCCTGAAACAATTGAAGAAACTACAAAAGTAAATGCACTTAAGACTTCAATAGGAAGTGCACTTTCGTCATTGCAAACAAAATATTCATCAGCAACACCTGAAAGTAATAGGACGTCAGTTGGTGTGGATTCTTCGATACCTTTCCATTCTTCTTCAGTTACGTCTTTAAACACAACTTTGTCGGAGAGTGTGACACCTTACTCTAGGTACACTTCACCAGCAACAATTGGAAACAGTACAACACTAACGAATGGTACATCTTTTATGAATCTTACCACTCAATCAACGACAGTTTCTAGTTCTTTTACACCAGGAGTTGTTAATTCCTCTTCATCCCGTATTTCTTCGTCAATGATAGCTGAACGCATTAGCACATTGGGAGGTGTAGTGGTTTCTTATAATAATCACACTTTATCAACTCCTAGACATATGTATTTTTCGGTAGATAACACAACTATACCGCCGACAACAAAAAAGCCGTTTATAAAATTTGGAACAATTTTGACACAAGTATCTGAAAGTGACAGAAATAAATCAGAAAATCTCATTCGAGAACAAACTACCACAGCTGCATCTGTTTCTTCCCTAGCATCTCAAACAACTCGTAAATTGTCCGTTATCAGACATAAAACTGATTTAACTTCCAATAATACTTATCCTAATCCTAGAAAAGAAACTTTCGAATATATAAGAAATACTAAAGTCACTAAAGGTAAAGCGAAACTGTCATTCAAAAAAATCAAAGTCACAGTAATAAGAACGTATGAAGAAGGAAAACGAATTGTTTACCAGACGTACCAGAAGGTGAAAGACATAGCAACGACTGTTGTCGTGACAACATATGAAAACTCAAGAAAACTTTTGGAACAAGCGTTGCAAAGAGTTGAAGCATTATGGCAATATTGTAAAACCGGAATAGACCACTATATTGTGAAACCACTTCTAAATGCTCGAGTCTTAGTGAAAAATAAATTTGAACAGACGTATTCGCGATTGAATGAAATATTCAATAGGGGTAAAACGATATTAAAACAAACTACAAATGACGTGCGTGCAGAGGCATCTAAATATTTTGACAGTTTAGCTAAATACTACACAGATGTGTATAGACAATATTCTACAGAAGTGAGAGACATTTTTGAGTCATTGAAAGTTCCGGACAGCTAACACTGTTTACAAGTAAAATGCATTACATAGCTTTAAAGAATGAATAGTTCTTTTAATTGGCCATTGGTAAATTACCTACAAAATAATACGCCATCTGGATTTTTCAGTAATAACCCGTCTAGAAAAAAATCAATTTAGGAAATATGGTCATATCCAGTAATATTTACAGATATAATAACAAAGAATTCAATGCTAAGATATACCATGTAATAAAAAGAGAGGTAATTATATTCGGTCTATCAGGTAGAAAACAGGCCTATACATATTTCGGATAGATGCTCAGCTGTATTTTCCTGTATTTAATAAAAGGGATACACAGGCAAAATAATGACAAAAATACAAAAATGATCTTCTGTACTCAAATCACCCTAAAATGACTTTTCCTAAAGTCCCAGCATGAATTTCTGTATAGATTCTAAATATTTTGGGTTTGAAGCTTAAATATATTTATATATGTTGAACGAAATTTGGTCGCCAACAGAATCACCGAATAGTTTAAAAACAAGTCATGTGATTTGAACAAACCCTGGAAGTTACTATAACAGGTATTGCAGATATTGTATGATTAAAACAAGTCTAAGTAATTGATTTGACATGTTCTTTAACGTTTCCAGAGTACACAGTAACAACTATTTTGAAATCATACCGCTCTAACCTGACCCACGCGGGTCAAGTTAGGAAAACACCTTTTTTTTTCTTTATATGGAGAAAAGTTTTGTTCTTTTTACTGTTTAGTGTATTCATTTTGATGACATTTACAGAATAATGAATGAAAAATTAAAAACTAAGAAATTAAAATTTTGCCTGTGTCTCCTCGTAGCCTTGTAATCTACAATACAGTTTCTCGTAGCCTTGTAATGTACAATACAGTTTCTCGTAGCCTTGTAATGTACAATACAGTTTCTCGTAGCCTTGTAATGTACAATACAGTTTCTCGTTGCCTTGTAATGTACAATTCAGTTTCTCGTAGCCTTGTTATGTACAATACAGTTTCTCGTAGCCTTGTAATGTACAATACAGTTTCTCGTAGCCTTGTAATGTACAATACAGTTTCTCGTAGCCTTGTAATGTACAATACAGTTTCTCGTAGCCTTGTAATGTACAATACAGTTTCTCGTAGTCTTGTAATGTACAATACAGTTTCTCGTAGCCTTGTAATGTACAATACAGTTTCTCGTAGTCTTGTAATGTACAATACAGTTTCACGTAGTCTTGTAATGTACAATACAATTTCTCCTAGCCTTGTAATGTACAATACAGACCTTGATTAAGAACCGGACGTCATAGACAATTTTAACAGTTTAAAACCTGTTATTATGAAACTTAGTTATTATTTATTGGTATTGATATTATTATTGTTAAGATACAAATAGTTATATACGACAGATGTACGTTAAAATTACAATTGAGCCTGTGTAAAAGGTCAACTCTCAGTTAAAAGCAAATATGGGAAGTACATGTATATCATTTAAGGCCCTCACTTTATTGTACAATGTGTACATTAATAGTGTCAGATTTCCTTGTTTGTAGAGACGCATATTTACCAAAAATATCTTATTTTCCAATTACTGTATTTTTCTTAGACCTGTTGAACGGCATAGCGCAATGTGTCATATGCAAAGTTACGGTGCAAAATTTCCTGGTCTATGCGACCACATTATAACCAGAAATATTTAATTTTTCAGTTCTCTTCTTTTATTTGTTACGTTTGTTGAATGGAAAGAAGTAAAAATGTAATTCCTAAATCTTATCTTGTCATATAATGATAATTGCTCATTTAACTGTTCTATGATACACAAATGCACGAGCGTGAAAGCAGTCGCAACATCTGTTGAAATATCTTGTACTTACATGTTGCAATGTTTCTAAATACCTAGTTCAAGCTTATATCAAAATGTGTAAAGTGTCTTAAAAAGTATTGTTCCATGTTAACCATTTTCCACATGATACAATTTTTATCTAGCTCTCAATATATTGTTGTTGTACCATGCCAATATAATCAATGATGTTATAATTGCCATTGTCCTTGTAGGGCTTGTGTTCCGTTTATTGTTGTATCATATTGTATTGTTGATAACACTTGTCACTTCACGTCAATAAACAAGTTACTTACTATACCAGTATTTTACTTTGATTCTGTTTTACCGTACACTACTTTTTATGCATTGTCCAGGTCAAGCAAATATAACTGGCAAGACGAACTTGTTTGGTATGAGATAAAACACAACACTTAGGTTGAATGAAATAGGGCATTTATTAAATGCCATAAATGACAAATGTTACATAATAACAAACATGACAAATGTTACATAATAACAAACATGGCATGTACATATTTGTATCGAAATAACCAAACTGGGAGGTAAAAACCGCCACAAAGGGAACCTTCCGCCAGCTTGCACTATTAATTCAACGATAATGATTGCTCCCTTGACTAGTCTTGGTTTTTGCAGGATTTACTGAACATTCTTGGTGTTTGGCTTTTCCTTGTTGTGGACCTGAATAACAGGTGTAAGGAGAAATTGTGGCTGTTTCATCTGAAAAATATGAATTATTTTGTCATTAAGGTAGACTAAATGTATGAAATGTAATTGATTATTAAATTAATTCTGACTACATTGTGCGTGATTCATAAGCATAATCACGCAAACATGGACTATAGACTAAACCATGTATAATAGAATGTGTTAACTGTAAACTAACTCACACGGAATGTAAACTCAACTATGTGTGAAAAAATAAGCGAGAACTGAAAACTAAATCAAGCAGACATGATTATAGACTAAACCATGTATAATAGGATAATTATGTGTGAACTATAAACTAAATCACACTCACACTGACTGTAAACTAAACCATGTGTGAAAAAATAAGTGTGAACTGTAAATTAAATCACGCAGACATGGGCTTTAAACTAAACCATGTACAATAGGATATGTGTGAACTATAAACTGAATCACACTCACATGGACTGTAAACTAAACCATGTGTAAATAGGCGTGAACTGTAAACTAAATCACGCAGACATGGACTATAAACTAAGCCATGTATAATATGATAAGTGTGAACTGTAAACTAAATCACACTCACATGGACTGTAAACTAAACCATGTGTAAATAGGCGTGAACTGTAAACTAAATCACGCAGACATGGACTATAAACTAAGCCATGTATAATATGATAAGTGTGAACTGTAAACTAAATCACACTCACATGGACTGTAAACTAAACCATGTGTAGAAAATAGGCGTGAACTGTAAACTAAATCACGCAGACATTGTCTATAAACTTAAGCAATGTATAATTGGATATGCGAGAACTCTAAACTCAATCACACTCACCAGGAGTGTAAACTAAACCATGTGTAGGAAATATGCGTGTAAACTAAACCATGTGTATCATCGGTAGACTAAATCACTAAGACATGGTCTATAACCGGAGCCATGTATCATGGGATGTGTGCGAATTGTAAACAAAATCACACTTACATGTACATGTATTATAAAACTATGTGTGAACTGTAAACTTTATCAAGCAGACATGGATTATAAACCAAGTCATTTATCATACGATGCGTATAATTGTAAACAAAATCACACTCACATGGATCGTCAACTATGTTGTGTTGAAAATGTGTATTAAATGTTAACTAAGTCACGCAGACATAAACTATATATTAAGCCATGTATACTAGAATATGTATAAATGCAACTAACACGGACTGTAAACTAACCTTGTGTTGTAATCGTGTTTAAACTGTTGTAAAACCAGTCATAGAATTTAACACTGGTCCAAGGCCATTGAAAATTAGTTCAGGTCAGTGTAAATTTTAAGAAAATTTGATTAAGTGTATAGTAGAATAAATTCAAAATTAGAATTCAGAACAGTAATTTTGAATCTTAAATTCAATGACTGAAAAACTAAAACAGCGAAACATGAGTGTATGGAAATTATAAACTAAATCACACTAACTGTATTTAGTTGGAGTCAACAAAAAAATTTAAAATTAAAAAGAAATAAGACTAAATCGCTCCAATCTGGACTGTTACTTAACATGTTGCTAAATAATACTGCTATGATGATGTGTGTACAAATGTATAGTAGACTAGCAGAAAATCAACATGTACTATTATCTACTCTAATTAGAAGTTTGTGTGAACTGTAAATGAATTGGAAATAAGTGATAACTAACATGACTAATATAGAACTTCAATTATATGTCCAGGAAAATTATGCCCGATTAATACTGCATTCTTGTACATTATCATTAGGAGAATAATTGATGACCAACAACAAACCCGGCAATGCATAACCTTATATATTATAAATATAAAGAAATTTACTCACTGATAAATTCATTAAGTAGATCTACTTCGAGTCATAACCAAAGCTTATTATATTAATTTGTTAATACAAAGCAACAAACCTAGTATTAACGTATGAATCTGGACTTTCAGTCCAAAATTTTTATCAGTGCTAGACATGCGTATGAAGTAGCAATAAATTAATAAAATAAATACTATGAAATAACTACTGTGTATGTGTCATCAGAAATACAATTGTATAGTTGTTATCACTATTTCAAAGCCACAAAATGTGACAAATACAAAATAAATGCAGTGTATGGTCTGTTACAGAGTATATGTTGTGTCCAGTCCATTACTTTTTCATCGATCAAGGTATGTGAACGATTCACCAATGACTAACTTGGCATCAAACCTGTGACAGACCATTTTAGGCTTTGACCTCCAAGTGTGACATTGACCTTCAAGATAGGGGTCTGGGTGTTGCGAATGACATATTGTCTTATTATTGTAAACATCTGAGCCAAGTGATTTCAAAATCCCTTTATTGATGAAAAAGTATATATTCCGGACACAAAATATACGCTGTAGCAGACCATGCAAAGTTTTGACCCCCTAAGTGTGACATTGATCTTGATAGTTATGGACCGGACACGAAACTTGGACGGACGGACGTACAGACGGACGGACGGATCCCATTTTTCACCTTTAATTTTTCGAGAATGCGAGGGGGACAATAATCCAGTTACGATAATGAAACAATGCTCATATAAGATAAAATTTCATTGTTACAGAAACGATGATAAACTATTTCACATATATGAACAGTATCAAATCTCATATATATGAGCTGCGTCACGACAAAACCAACATAATGGGTTTGCGACCAGCATGGATCCAGACCAGCCTGCGCATCCGCGCAGTCTGATCAGGATCCATGTTGTTCGCTATCAGTTTCTCTACTTGTTATAGAGTTTAAGCGAACAGCAAGCTG